CGGGGCTTCGGCGTAGTTTGCTAGTGTCAGTCTGGAATCAGGACTTGCGCCTCACGAGTGGATTGGAGGACGAGCGCAAGGTGAGTCTTTCAGCTGCGGTGGGGCGCGGGCGTTTGCCACCACGCAGGGGCCAGGGGCAATTGGGAAACGTTCAGGGAAATGGAGGGCGGCAGGTACAGGAAGAACGGGGGAGGGGGAGGGCAAAGCAGCGGGCGGGAATGGGGAACACAGTGACCAGGCGAGATGCTCTGATAGGGGACGCGATGTGAGCGGAGGCCGCAGTTAGGAATTCCATTGGATAGCCCTGGGGCGTTCAGACACCTCCGCCCGGAGGTCGACTGGGGGTTCAGCGGCCCTTGCCTTCCTGACTCTGCGGGCAGGGCGCGACGACGCACCCGACCTGCACCCCGCCCCTTTCGCCAGGTGCCGGTCTGTACGTGCTCGCCCCGCGCGAGACATCCAGCACGTTCAAAACTACACTTAGCCAGGCACCAGGTGTAGTTCAGTACGTGCTGGTTTCGCTGGAGACATCCTCACAAAACGGAGCACTTATAGAACTATGTCGGGTTGCCGCCACTCGCGCTCCCAACGTGTACCGCGCCCCGGCCGCTAAGTGCCGTTCTGTACGTGTCCCCTTCTCGCGAAGCATCGGCTGCCCGCGCTGCCCATCGCCGAGGCCCCGTCCCCGTGAGCCGCCTCCTACCGACATCCCGCATCCCTTGGCTCAGCGAAGCCAGCTGTATGCCTGGGGGGTTCGACCTTTTGCAAATCACGGGAGCCTTGTATACCGTTTGAAGCCTGTGTTTTTTTGACGAGTGGCGTTTGGCAGTCAATGACGCAGCGCCGATTTAGCGTTCACAGGCATCGGCCAGCGCCGATTCGGCGTTGACGTTGCAGGGTAATCCGCAGTAGCCGCCGAAGGCCGTAATTCGGGGCGGACGTTTATGCAGTTCTTAGGAACGAAGCCTGGGTCGCTGCACATAATTCAGAACGTTGGGTTTGCTATTGTTGCTTCCGCCCCCGTTTCTGGCCCGCCGTCTTTATCCTTTCCCCTTTTTTCCCCGCGCGTGCCGCAGCCCGCCTCCGGATTTTATTCGGGTGCTTGGGCCACGGCGATTGTCCGCACAGTGCCCTTGCCCTTGGCCGTCCCGCCAGCAGGACGCGCGTTGTCCCGCCCACCTGGCCCTGCTGTGAGAGTGCATTGGAGTAACCGTGGTTTTTCGGTGCGTCGAGGCCGGGCTGGCCCAGGCTTGGCGGGGGAGGCGTCGACACGGTTGCTCGGCTCCGCGACGCCGACATGCGCGCCCTCCGCGCCGCTGGCCTGGATCTGCGCAGGTCGGCGGCTGTGCCCTGCGCGAGCGCGGGCCCAGCCTCGACGCGACTTCGCGACCTGCTACGTTCCGTGAGCTCGCGCCGCTGAAAAAGAAGCAAACAAATGCTCAGAAGGCCCGAGGCCTTCCGATCCTTCTGAAACGCCTGCCCCTTTCGCAGTGGAGGGGCGAGGGTTTCGCTGCGCAGCACGTCAAACAATGGGGCGGCCATGCGCCGCGCTGCGCCCCTCGCGGGCCCCTTTCGAGGATGCAGCCACTTCCACTTCCACTTCCCGCTGCATTCCCCCGTTCGGCTCGCCGCCGAATGCTGTCGCGGCGCGAGGGCGTCGGGGCCCCTCCTTGCTCCTCGCCGGGCCGTCGGCCTCGTTCGCGGGGGAGCCGTGCGGTGGCGCCCCTCGCGGGCGCTGCCCGCGAGAGACGCGCCGCGGCCCTGTCGCGGCAGTTGAGACGCGCTGGCCCTGCCGCGGCAGTTGCGGCCACGCAGCGCCTGGGGCGGAGGGGGGGGGGGGGGCGAAAAGCGGGAGGCCCTGCACGGTCGGAGGGCAGGACATCGTTCGTTTGCAACTCATTGGAGCCTCCTGCACCGTTTGCACGCAGCGTCTGGCAATCGATGACGTAGCGCCGGTTTAGCGTTGGTCGGCGTCGGCCAGCGCAAATGTGGCGTTGACGTTGCAGGGTGCTCCGCAACAGCCGTCGACGACCTAACCTCGGGGCGGAAATTTGCGCAGCCCTTCGTTCGTGCTCAGGAATGAAGCTTGGGTCGCTGCGCATAGTTCAGAATGTTGAGTTTACCATTTATGCTTCCGTTTCGGTTATCTGATCCCCTCTGTTTTCTTTAATTATTTTCCCCCGCGCATGCCGTTGCGCGTTTTTCGAGTTGATTATTGGCAGTTTGGGCCACAGGTTTTCTCCACATCGCCCTTGCCCTTTTTTCTCCTTCTCCTCCCGCTCGTCTGCCATTTGAAACCCGTTTTCAGCGCCGAGTAGCGAATGGAAATAAATGATACAGCGCCGAGTTTGCGTTGACTGGCGTCGGATTGCGCCGATTAGCATCGGCCAACCAAATTGTAAGGGAGATCCCCATGAGTTGCCACCGAGTTCGTAACAAAAGAGATCGGAGGAGAAACCATTTCTGCAGGGCGAAATCGACCTGCTTCTACACGGCGAGTTTTGGAGGCCTGTGCCAAATACCGCTCCCGTTCGCTACCCACGCGTTTATAGACACATCGGATATCGTACCGTACAGTCATAGACACATTCGGGGTGGATGCGCGTATAAACAGCGCGGCCGATGCGTTTGGCGCAGTGCAGGGTCAAATAAAGGGTCGATATGTCTACGATCATTTCCTTGTCAAGAGCAGGTCCACCATGTGTACCGAGACCGTTGCTCGTTCTGGAAAGCCGAAGCCGCCACGGATGGATTCTCCGAGGGTCAGATTGCACCCCAGGAGAGGCCCGTGAAGCAGCGGTATGGATGTTTTCTCATCTCCCTCAGGCTTGCATCAAATAGTTCCAACCCTGAGAGCTGGGCGTTGATTCTTGTTCACGCTGGGCGTTTTCGCCACGGTTTTCCCACCCCAGGAGAACGGGTGATAGAACGATTGTGGGGATGAACAGCTGGAGAAAGATAATATTTTGGATGGAGGCAGAAAAGGGATGATAGACCCAGAGATCTCCCGGAGTCTTCAGTATCCAGAGCATCCAGAGGGTTAAACAAACCCGCTTGTTCACATTAAATCAGATCCTCGCTGCCTCCCCTGTTCTGTCCGTCCTCTCCTCCTCGGCCCTCCTTCCCTCCCGCCCTCTCTCCCTCCTCTTCTATCCCTCCCTCCTCCATTATAACCCTTCCCTTCCAGAAGGGCTGCAAAACATGAGCAGGAACTTTACATCCAAGTTCCAGTCGAGGTTTTGAGCCGCCCCGATCTGTGCACGATTCTGGAGGGCTCTTCTTGAGCACACTGGGGCCTCCCCCCTCCCCCACTCCCCTCGCCGCCGAGAGCCTGCCTTCCAACCAAACCAGCGCTGCTGGTCGGTGTTTTTTTGCTCAGGAGCGGCGCTCTCGGTTCACCGCCCCAAGCTGGCCCGCCTGCAGCGACGCCCATTTATACTCAGGGCTGGCGTTCTTTGTCGTCCTTGAAATCCGACGCTCCTACAACAAAAAAAAACTCCCCCACTCCCCTCGCCTCCCCTCCCACCTCCCCCTCCCTCCCTCCCCCCCCCCGGGCCTCCTGGAGGCCTGCGAAGTTATTCCAGCAGAGTAATCTCATTACAGCAAGGGTGAAGAGGCGGGTCGAGGAGTAGGAGGTCCGGTACAGGGGACCGGGGTGACAGAGCTGCCGTGTACACCACAGTGCCAGTGTACCCAGGGGCCGTGGCCGTCCAGACCAGACATGTAGCCAGCATCGAGGCGAGTGCGAGATTCCGGAATCATTCGTAAGCGAGTCTCAGGCGACATGGTTGCTGGACCAGGCGATCTCGACCAGGTGCTCCCAGGCTCTCCGCCCCTTCTGTGGGACGCTCCTGCGACCCCTTCCCGTTTCTACGGGAAGCTCCTGGCGAATCCCCACAAGGGAAAGCTTCCACCCCGATCCGTTCGTTCCCCCATCTGCCCCGCCTGTGGGAAAAAACACAGTGTATATGTGTGTGTGTTTTTTCCACATATTGTGTGTGTGTGTTGTGTGTGTATGTTTTCCCACAGTGTGTGTGTGTGTGTGTTGTTTCCCACAGTGTGTATGTTTTCCCACGTGTGTGTTTGTTGTGTGCTTTTTTCCTCACAGTGTGTGTTTTCTCGCTCCCCCCTCGCCCCGCCCCCTGTCGCTGCGTGCGGCTTCCAGCCCGGGCCACAGCTGGGGCCTCCGGCGGCCGCTCGGGACGCTTGGATCATCGCTCGGGCGTGTGCAGGTCTCCTCGGCGAGAACCACCGAGGACCATCCTGGACCATCGAGCAACAAGAAACCATCGAGGACCACCCTGGACCATCGAGCAGCAAAAAACCATCGAGGACCATCCTGGACCATCGAGCAACGAAAAACCATCGAGGGCCATCCTGGACCAAAACAAAAAACCATCCTGGACCATCCTGGACCCTCGAGCAACCAAAACGCACGCACGAGACCGACAAAAGTGCACGGGGAGGGGCCGCCCGAGCGACGGCCAGGACGAGCCGCCGAGGCCCAGCGAAGGCCTCCGAAGACCTCGGCCCCGAGCGGCCTCCGGCGCGGGGGCCGAAGTTCACCTCAGCGCCCCTCAAACGGGGACTCCACTAACGGGTACTTTGGCCAGTGACCCAGCGAACCCAGCCCTTCCCGATGTGGGCAAAGCTGCAATGCAAGAAAAAGGCCCTAGAGTGGCAACTTTCGGCAAAGATTCAAAGTACCCGTTAGTAGGTACCCGTTACGGTGCCGTTGATCACCACCCACCGAATCACCCCAACCCAACCCGAAGGCCTCCATTTGCCCACCATTTCCAGTGGGGGGGGGGGTCGGGGAACATCGACAAAAGCACACATGTGGAGCCCATACCCCCCCCCCCCCAACCCGAAATGAACATCGACAAAAGCACACATGTGGAGCCCATACCCCCCCCCCCCCAACCCGAAATGCTGGTCTTCGGGTTGGGTGGGGGTGCTCTGGCAGGTCGTCAGAAGTCGGCGCGCGCAGAGCGCCGGAGGCGCTGCGGCAGGCGGGGGACGAGTCCGCCTGCCTGCCGGCGGAGCACTGCTGGCGCCCCCCGCCCGGCCTCCGCCCCCGCCCGGCGGCCCGAACTACAATTGCGTTCTCTGCAATATCCGGTAAGAGATAATATATACATATAACGGCGCACCGGGTCCGGGGGCCCGGGGCAGGGACCTCGACCACAAATGTGCACCCCGGGGGGCCCGGAGGCTCGTCGGGGCTTGCCGGAGGCCTCCCCGGTCAGACAAGACGGCCCCAGGAGCGCCCAAGACGGCCCAAGAAGTTTCCAAGAGGCCTCCAAGAGGGCTCCGAGATGCTGAAGATGGCCTCCAGACGTCCAAGGACGCCCCCAAGAGGCCCAAAGAAGCCTCCAACATGCGTCCCAAGAGGGCCCCTAGACGCAAAAATTGGCCCATTCCCTTCGTAAAACGTACATTTTCAACAAAGTCGCCTTTTGGGCTTTCCGACGTTACAGGACGGCCCAAGAGGCGCCCAAGACCGCCCCAAGACGGCCCAAGAAGCTTCCCAGAGGGCCCCAGGACAGCCCAAGAGGGCCCCAAGACGGCCCAAGAGGCGCCCAAGATGGCCCAAGAGGGCCCCAAGACGGGCCCAAGAGGGGGCCCAGAGGGGGACCACGAACCGCAAGCTCGAGCCTTCCGCCCCAAGAGGCCGCCAGGAGGCCCCCAGGAGGCCCCTCAAGAGGCCCCAGGAGACCCCAGACGTCCAAGGACGCCCCCAAGAGGCCCCAAGAAGCCTCCAACATGCGTCCCAAGAGGGCCCCTAGACGCAAAAATTGGCCCATTCCCTTCGTAAAACGTACATTTTCAACAAAGTCGCCTTTTGGGCTTTCCGACGTTACAGGACGGCCCAAGAGGCGCCCAAGACCGCCCCAAGACGGCCCAAGAAGCTTCCAAGAGGGCCCCAGGACAGCCCAAGAGGGCCCCAAGACGGCCCAAGAGGCGCCCAAGATGGCCCAAGAGGGCCCCAAGACGGGCCCAAGAGGGGGCCCAGAGGGGGACCACGAACCGCAAGCTCGAGCCTTCCGCCCCAAGAGGCCGCCAGGAGGCCCCCAGGAGGCCCCTCAAGAGGCCCCAGGAGACCCCAGACGTCCAAGGACGCCCCCAAGAGGCCCCAAGAAGCCTCCAACATGCGTCCCAAGAGGGCCCCTAGACGCAAAAATTGGCCCATTCCCTTCGTAAAACGTACATTTTCAACAAAGTTGTCTTTTGGGTTTCCGACGTTACAGGACGGCCCAAGAGGCGCCCAAGACCGCCCCAAGACGGCCCAAGAAGCTTCCAAGAGGGCCCCAGGACAGCCCAAGAGGGCCCCAAGACGGCCCAAGAGGCGCCCAAGATGGCCCAAGAGGGCCCCAAGACGGGCCCAAGAGGGGGCCCAGAGGGGGACCACGAACCGCAAGCTCGAGCCTTCCGCCCCAAGAGGCCGCCAGGAGGCCCCCAGGAGGCCCCTCAAGAGGCCCCAGGAGACCCCAGACGTCCAAGGACGCCCCCAAGAGGCCCCAAGAAGCCTCCAACATGCGTCCCAAGAGGGCCCCTAGACGCAAAAATTGGCCCATTCCCTTCGTAAAACGTACATTTTCAACAAAGTTGTCTTTTGGGCTTTCCGACGTTACAGGACGGCCCAAGAGGCGCCCAAGACCGCCCCAAGACGGCCCAAGAAGCTTCCAAGAGGGCCCCAGGACAGCCCAAGAGGGCCCCAAGACGGCCCAAGAGGCGCCCAAGATGGCCCAAGAGGGCCCCAAGACGGGCCCAAGAGGGGGCCCAGAGGGGGACCACGAACCGCAAGCTCGAGCCTTCCGCCCCAAGAGGCCGCCAGGAGGCCCCCAGGAGGCCCCTCAAGAGGCCCCAGGAGACCCCAGACGTCCAAGGACGCCCCCACGACGCTTCGCGTCGCCAATTTCTTCTCACAACGATTCCTGGGTCTGTGACTCGACAGAACCTAAGCGCGCGCGAAGCGCGCGCGTGGTTCTAGTATACATATATATACACATATACATACGTACATACATACGTACATACATACATACATACATACATACATGCATACATACATACATACATACCTACATACATGCATACATGCATACACACATGCATACATACATGCATGCATGCATGCATGCATGCATACATGCATGCATACATGCATACATGCATACATGCATACATGCATACATACATACATACATACATACATACATACATACATAGCATACATATGCATACATACATACATACATCATACATATACATACATACATACATACATACATACATACATATATATACATATATAGATATACATACATACATACATACATACATACATACATACGTACATACATACATATATATACATGCATGCATACATGCATACATGCATACATGCATACATACATACATACATACATACATACATACATACATATATCCTTTACTAAATTTATAGGCTGCTTCTCCTTCTCCTCCTTCCCCTCTTTTTTTCCTTCTTCTCCTCCTTCTTCTCCTGCTACCAGAGCTGCGGGCGCTGGAGGGCGTGGCATCGTTCGGGCGTGTGCATGCTTCCGTCGGCGAGGACTCTCGAGGAGCATCCTTGAGCACTGGTCGGAGAAATCACGCACGAAGCCAGAACAAGCACAGGGAATGGACGTCCGAGCGATGGCGAATTAAGTACATCCGGCCTGTTGCGCTCTCGCAGGCGATTTCTCGTCCCGATCTCCGAGTCGCCCAAAAACAGATCAGGCTGCTCAGACGCGGAGAGAAACTCGGGGATACGCCCCAGGGGGCCTACGTGGTCGCCATACGCCCCGTCGTGCTCTGCCCGAGCTCTCTCCTCTCGACGGCGGAGAGAGGACGAAGTCTCCAGAGCTCCGCGCGGATCTTCTGGGGATCTGCGCGGCACCCCCGTGGCAGCGCCTCCAGGCACGCCCCCTGCCGCGCTCCGGGCGCCAGAGAAGAGGGCGTCCAGCGCCGATCTGGGAGACGCGCGGACCTTCGACGTTTTTTTATGCTATCTGCGATCGTTTTTGTTTTGTAAAGCTCCACTCCGACCAGCATTGCGCGAGAAACCGCAGCGGATCGTTTTCTTACTCCCTGCTTCCCCGATCGGCGCGGGCCCTCGCACCCCCTTGCCCCCCCCCCCCGTGGGAGTAGATCTTGGCTGTGCTGGGCGCCTGCTTGGAGCAAGTGGAGCCTCCCCCCCCACGGGACGCACTGCTGCAAAGAGGAGTCGCATCAGGCAGAGGTCCGGAGCCAGACCCCGTCCCCCCTCCCACCCCCCTTTCGGCCCCAAGGTCGGAACGCCGGAAAAGATAGCGCTGCATCTGGGCGACGGAAGAAAGCGGTGTCGCGTCGCGCGCAGGCCGCACGCGTGAGGTCGTGCGTGAGCGCCCTCGTTTCCAGAGTGCGGTGTGCCGCGCTAGCGGCCCGCGTAAGCCACCGGCCACGCCCTCGCGCGCGGGGCCCGCTCTTCTCGGCGATCGTAAGGAAGGGTCTCGCCCTCTGCCGCCAGCCACCCCCCCTCTACCACAGTGGGAGACAGTGGAGACCCATGCCAGGAAACACCCGGTTTTCGATGGTTTTGCGATGGAACACGTGGCGCTCCCCCACAGCAAAAGTCGATGGACTTCCTGGGATCTCAGGGTTGGGTTTCCTGTGGAAGGCTTCTCGTGGACTGGCCTCCACTGTATATCAGAGCTGTGACGGGATGTCTCGGCGCCGTTTTGAAGACGTCTGGGAGCATCTTGCGACACTTTGAGCACTAGAGCTTTGGAAACTGGAAACTGAGACGGTGCAGGCGCAGGAAGCCTCATCCGCGCAGCCTGCTGGCCCTCCAAGGGGGCCTGGTGTCTTGGCCTTTCGCATGGGGTCCGAGTAAGTCGGAGAGTTGCGCCGCATCGACGATGTGGCGCCGATGCGCTCGATGTGAAGCCCGATGTTTGTCCACGCCGACGGCGCCAATGCATCGCCAACGTCGCCGATGCATCGACGATCCAGCGGAGATGCATCGCCGATGCATTTGCGATGCGGCGCAATCAATCCTCCGATCCCATCCGCTCGGACCCCATCTAAGAGGCCTCCATTGTGGTGAATCAGTGGGGAGTCGGTCCGCTCTCCGAGGGTGTCTCTCGGGCGACCCGGGCCTCCGAGATCCCAAGACCGTGCTGTGACGGAGCGCAGGTCGTCGGGGAATCCGAGGTCACCACGCGGTCCGTCACCACCCGTGTTTCTACGGGCCCGACTCGTCTCGGAGGCGCTGCAGAGTTTCCTCGAGGAACTCGCGATTGGGCATGGAGTGCACCTCTGTCTGCCTCTCCCTCTCTCTCTCTCTGATCGGGGGTGGATAGACCTCCTACCCTGACACGTCGATTAGCGAATTGGCCGTTGTCGATTCGCGAGAGAGCGTCGCGGCCGTCACCTTTGCGGGTCCAGGTCCGTCGGTTTCGGTCCCAGGCAGTTTTCATTAAGGGGAGGTTTATTCTAGGGAGGTTTGTCCACCACCGATTCGGTAGAGGGAAGCAGTTATTGAACCACCCCCTGCCCTCCAAACTCAAAGTTGGCACGCGCGGGGGAGACTGCGGTCGAGGTGCAACTCATCAGACCCACCGCCAACTTTGAACGTTGGGGGGAGGGGGAGGCGTTCACAGATGAATGTGGCATGAGTGTTCGCTATTTCTTTCCGAGGCTGTGGGAAAACACACACACACATCAAACACAAACAAACACACAAACAAACACACACACACACAAAACACGCACACGTGGGAAAACACACACACACACACACACTGTGGGGAAACACACACACACACACAAACACACACACGTGGGAAAACACACACACACACACGTTTGTTGTTTTTCCCACGTGTGTGTTTTTTTCCCGCGTCTGACTCTCAGCCTCTCGCGCCTGGCCCTTGCGCTCCCGGCACGCCTCCGCCCGCTCCCGTCGCCCGGGCGAGCCTCGATCGCCGCCTGGGCGCCCGCCGGCGGAGGTTCACGCCGCAGCCGCTGCAGACGTACGTGTTTCTGGCCTGCCAGACCGACAACGGAGGCCTGCTTTTGAGTCGGGCGTGTCCCTCTACAGGAGAAGTATCCAAAAATAGTCAAAAAATAGTCTGGGCACCATGTTTTGACTGTTTTGAGCATTTGGGGGTACTTTTTTCGACTAGACGTAAGAGTGACCTTTCGCCGGAGTGACCTTTGGTGCGGGCACAGATGGGTCCCCAGATGGCTGAAAGCGGAGCAGTAGCAGCTGCTTGCGCGCCCAGGCTTGGTCCCCCCGCGGCCCCCAAAAAATCGCGCACCAAAGCTCACTCTTACCCAGGGTCACTCTTGCGTATAGCCGATTTCTGGGTTTTCTTACGCACAGAATTCCCCTGTAGGGGGACATGCCCGACTTAAGCCTGCTTCTAGTATCCTGGGTTTCTTCGCTCCCCGCGCTGCGCGGCGACTTCCCGCAGCCGCGGAAGGAGCTGCTGCGTTCAGGGTGCTCAAGTTTCCCCTCCGGTGCACCTCGCTCACGGGTTCTCAGGGTTGGATTTCTTGCGAGGGTTTCTTGGGGCCGCGCCCGCACAGTAGGCCTCCTAGATGGGGTCGGAGCAGGTGGGGTCGGAGGATCGCGCCGCATCGCCGATGCATCGACGATGCGGCTCGATGCGGAGCCCGATTTGCTTCATGCCGGCGTCGCCGATGCATCGCCAGCGTCACTGGTGCGATCCTGCGACCCCATCTACTCCGACCCCATCTAGGAGGCCTCTGCTGCTCCCGAAGCGCGTGACGACTCTCCCGTCGTCGAGGGGCAGAACACGGGATAAGCATACACTGTGGTGGAGCTCCGCGCGGAGTTCTTGGATCCGCGACCGGTCCCTGGGCGGCGCCGCGGGCGCCGCCCTTGGCGCGCGGAGCGCGCCAGGGATGGGGGAGCCGGCGCACATCCAAGAAATCCGCACGGACCGTCGAAAGTTGAAAGTTTCTTCCTCCTCCTCCCCCTCCTCCTCCTCCTCCTCCCCCTCCTCCTCCTCCTCCTCCTCCTCCTCCCTCCTTCCATCTGAGTCGGCTTGCGGGGATCACAGGGCGGGGCCAGGAAAGGGATACACCGTTCCAGAACATCCCAGGCCGCCCTCGGAGCGTTCAGGAGCGCCCTGGAACGGCCGTGGCGCCCGATTCATCCTCCGGAACCGCCAGATCCAAGGGATCCCCGATGCATCGCGGTGTGATTACGTCCTTGTGTCGGTTTTGTCTTCGATCAAGCTAGATAAGTCGAAGTACATTCACACAAAGGTACATCCAGATGATAAGCCATACGAGATCCAGAGATATCCAGATACGCTTGGCACCGATCGTGGAAGCTCCAGCGCGAGTCGAGGGATAGCAGAAGTGGTAATACCATGAACGACCAGCGTGCAACGCACTTGGAAAGAGATCGGGGAAAGCTCCCCTCGCATCCTCGCGTCGTGAGAGAAAAAAACACGACGGGCGGCTCTTTGCAACTTTCGGACTGGGGTCCCTCACCAGGCCCTGGAGATGTCAGAATACGATTCAGGATCAGAGGCTGGCCCCAGGGGAGGGGCCCCGACTTCTGGGGAGCCAAAAAAAGCACAAACAAGCACACACTATGATTTTTTGTCCCACAGACTGTGTGCGTTTTTGTGTGTGTGTGTTTTTGTGTGTGTGTGTGTGGGTGGGTGTTTGTGTGTGTGTGTTTGTGTGTGTGTGTGTTTGTGTGTTTTGTGTTTTTTCCCCACAGACTGTGTGTTTGTTTTGTGTGTTTGTGTTTTTTTTGTCGTGAAGCATCACGACGTCGGACGTCCGTGTTGTCGGGCTGCCCTGCCACACGACAGCATTTTTGTTGCTTCAGTTCGGAGGAGCACGATGGGTCGAGCTCTCCACGAGCGCCTTGCCCCGCCCTCCTTCTCTTGCCTGCTCTGTGGGGAAAACACACACACACGCACACACACACACACACAGTGGGAAACAAACACACAGTCTGTTGGGAAAACACACAAAAACACACACACACACACTGTGGGACAAACAACACAGTCTGTGGGGAACACACAAAAACACACATTGTAGGAAAAAACACACAAACACACACACACACACTGTGTGTGTGTTTTGTGCGTTTTTCCCCACTGTGTGTGTGTGTGTTTTTCTCCCACGGGGCACGGCGACTGCGGCCGTGTAGGCTTGGTCATTCTTGTCCCCGATAGCGTTTCGCTAGAGGGCTCGACTAGGCGTATCAACAGACTGCAGATGGATGAGTCCCACGGGGGGCACGGGGAGCCGTAGGCAGCTCTGTCTGGCAGGGGGTCCGGCAGCCGTGTCGTTGGAGACTTCCCCACAGGATGTCTCGAGCGAAACGCTTGTCCCCAGCACGTTCCGTAGCGCGTCCCCTTGGCACGTCCCGCGGTGCGTCCCCATGGCACGTCCCTTGGCACGTCGCTTGGCGGGTCCCTTGAGACGTTCCGCGTCGCGTCCTCCTGGTATGTCCCCTTGTCAATTAGCTCTGGGGCAGCTACTATGTGTTCAGGCAGCTCGAGCTTAAGATCCAGATCAGTTCGGTCAGGACTCGGATGCAAAGGAGGACTCGATCCACGAGGCTATAGAGCACAATCGCGGCATGGCACATCGCAATTCGGCACGGCGCAGCACAGCACAGATTTCGGCACGGTACATCAAGATCGATACACTCAGCATTGCAACTTGGCACGTTCCGTGGGGCGTCCCTTGCGAGTCCCCCTGGCACGTCGCGTGGCGCGTCCCCTGGCACATTCCGTGGCACATCCATTGGCACGTTCCGTAGCGCGTCCCCTTGGCACGACCGGCGGTGCGACCCCATGGCACGTCCCCTGGCACGCCGCTTGGCGCGTCCCTTGGGACGTTTCGCGGCGCGTCCTCCTGGTATGTCCCCTTGTCAACTAGCTCTGGGGCAGCTACTATTTGTTCAGGCAGCTCGAGCTTCAGATCCAGATCAGTTCGGTCAGGACTCGGATGCAAAGGAAGACTCGATCCACGACGCTATAGAGCACAACCGCGGCATGGCACATGGCAATTCAGCACGGTGTAGCACAGCACAGCCCTCGGCACAGTACATCAAGATCGATACAATCAGCATTGCACTTGCCCGTCACCCAATCAGGTGTCTTTGAAAACGCTGCCATGCGTTACATTTCTATATTCCTTTCCGGGTTCGTGGGTCGATCATGCTTTTCCCACGGGGCACGGCGACTGCGGCCGTGTAGGCTTGGTCATGTTTGTCCCCGATAGCGTTTCGCTAGAGGGCTCGACTAGGCGTATCAACAGACTGCAGATGAGTCCCACAGGGGGCACGGGGAACCGTAGGCAGCTCTGTCTGGCAGGGGGTCCGGCAGCCGTGTCGTTGGAGACTTCCCCACAGTGCATGCAGGAATCTTGCTCTCTCTTCGACGCCGGCTACATCTCTGGCCCGGTCGGCCACAATGCGTCACAAAAAATATGTTTCAGGCGCACATGGCCGCTCTCTCGCCTCAGTGCCAGCTGAATGTTCGGTCTTGTCGGCCACGATCTCTGGTAAAAAATGCTCTTGAGGTGTACGAGGCCGTGCGCTCGCCTCTATGCCAGCTACACGTGTGCTCCTGACGGCCACGATCCCTTTTAGAAAATAAGCGTAAGGTGCACATGGCCGTGCTCTCGCCTCAATGCCGGCTACATTGCTGGCCTGGACGACCACGCTCCCTTGTTGAAGATATTCTATGGTGCACATGCGCGTGCTCTCACCCCTGTCCCAGCTGCTCTCAGCCCTGTCCCGCCTCTTCACCGCTGCTGCTATGACGGTGGGGCGCTTTGCTGCGGTATTGCTTTTGTTTCTGCCAGGTTTATAGGGCGAGTTGCAACCAAGGTAGTTGGCCTTCGGGGGGGGGCCTCTGGACGCAAAACCTGGTTCGCGTGGACCCCGGAGGGTCGGGGGACCCATTCTGAGTTGCCGTTGTTTCAGTTGGCCCTGCTCCAGTTCTGACACCAGAGACCAACGCGCTGTGGAACACCAGCAATGCCGCCTGGGTGAAACGCTCTCCTCCGTATCTCGCTCCCCTCCGCTCGTCACTTTTCATCCTTCGTCCCTCTGGTGGCGTGGTGGTGACCGCACGAGTTCTCCGGCCCCCTTTGTCGCCGCTGTCCGGCTGCAGGGGCGGGCAGGGCGCGGCGACGAATCGTTGCAGAAGGAGGGGGTCACGGGGCAGCGCGTATTGCCGTGTGGAGCTTCAGAGCACTGGGTGTTGTGGGCTAACATCAGGAGGGGAAAAAACACACAGACACAATGAATTGTCGATTCCCCAGAAAATACGGGAAAACATGGGAAGTGGGAGGGAAGACCCAAACCCAGAAAATATGGGAAAATATGGGGATTCCTGTTATTTGTGTGGATTTATGTGTGTGTCCCAGGGCCTCTTCATAACAGGACGGAAGTACGGGGTGCGCTCGGGCACTGTGCGCCAAGATATGAAAAGGGAGGACGCCCCACTGTCCTCTGCCAGGGGGCGAGACGGCGCTCCAGGCGGCGAAATATGAATTCTTCTTTCCCCCTCGGTATCGTGACCCCCAGCCGGCGTTTCTGTCTCCTTGTTTTTGCCATGCGTCGCGTGATGGGGGACCGCTGGTTTCGCCGACAGCTGGTTTCGCCCGGCTAGTTTCGCCGCCCGGCGAAACCAGCTCCGTCGGCGAAACCAGCTCCGTCGGCGAAACCAGCTGCCGTCGGCGAAACCAGCTGCCGTCGGCGAAACTGCCCGACCCGACCCGCCCGCTAGGGTCCGCCCGCCCAACCCGTAGGGCTCGCGCGTGCTCGGTCAAGCGTGCCCCACACTTTAATGTCCCGCCCGCCCCCGACCCGACCCGCCAGTTAGGGTCCGCTCGCCTGACCCGACCCGACCCGCCCGCTAGGGTCCACCCGCCCAACCCGACCCGCCCGTTAGGAGGGTCCGCCCGCCCGACCCGACCCGCCCGTTGGGGCTCGCGCGTGTTCGGTCGAGCGTGCCCCACGCTTGAATGTCCCGCCCGCCCGACCCGACCCGCTAGGGTCTTCTCGCCTGACCCGACCCGACCCGCCCGCTAGGGTCCGCCCGACCCGACCCGACCCGCCCGTTGGGGCTCGCGCGTGTTCGGTCGAGCGTGCCCCACGCTTTAATGTCCCGCCCGCCCGACCCGACCCGCTAGGGTCCGCTCGCCTGACCCGACCCGACCCGCCCGCTAGGGTCCGCCCGACCCGACCCGACTCCTCTGTTAGGGTTCGCTCGTGCTCGGTCGAGCGTGCCTCACATTTTAATGTGCCGCCCGCCCGATCCGACCCGCCCGTTGTGTTCCGCCCGACCGACCCGACCCGCCCGTTATGGTCCGCCCGCCCGACCTGACCCGCCCGTGAGGACTCGCGGGTGTTCGGTCGAGCGTCGGTGAAACTAGCGCCGACGAAACTGGCGCCGGCGAAACCAGCGCCGGCGAAACCAGCTCATGCCGCGTGATGTTTAGAGAGAGAGAGAGAGAGAGAGAACGAGAGAGAGAGAAAGAGAGAGAGAGAGAGACGCGCCTCGGGCGATCTTCGGCCTTTGAAGCATGTGGGAAAGGGATCGTAGCCTCTCCCACTCGTCGTCGCCGGCGGCGAGACCGCCAGCCCGCAGCGAGCGACCCAGACGAGAAATAATGCTTGAAAACGTCGTCCTTGCCCATTTTTCCCTAATCAGAGCTTGCCTCTGTAGGGGTCCTAGCGGAATAAAGGGTTAGGTGAGGTTGGTCGCCGATTTCGGTGGCCGGGCCCGGGTGCCCAGGTGCCCGGCGGTGCCCGGCGGTGCCCGTGTGCCCGGGTGGCCGGTGAGGTGCGTGGCTGATGTCGGTGGTCGGGCCCGGGTGCCCGGGTGCCCGGGGGTGCCCAATAGCCCAGTAGCCCTATAGCCCTATAGCCTTATAGCCGTATAGCCCTATAGTCCTGTAGCCCTATAGCCTTATATCCCTATAGCCCTAATAGCCTTATATCCCTATAGCCCTATAGCCCCATAGCCCATATAGTTCTGTAGCCCCATAGCCATATAGCCCTATGGCCCTATAGGTCACAGTCCTATAGCCCTTATAGCCCTATAGCCCGAGAACCCTATAGCCCGATAGCCCTATACCCCGATAGCCCGATAGCCCATATAGCCCTATAGCCCTATAGCCCTATAGACCGGTGGTACTGGTAGCAGATTACAAAAATCTGATTGTTTTGTTTCTCCGGTATCATGTATTTCCCAGCCATCTTGTGGTGTTGAGTCTTCGCGCCCCACGTCCTTTCTCTCCTGCTCCTCCCCCGCCCCCTCCCGCCCTGCCTCCACCCTCCGCGTGCCGAACACGTCGGCGCATCCCTCGCACGTCTCGTGGCCCCATAGGACTTGGCATCGCTCGGACGTGTGCATTTTTCCTTCGGCGAGGACACTCGAGGAGCATCCTTGATCATTTGCGGACAAAGCCACGCACGAAACCGAAAAAAAAACACAGGGAATGGACGTCCGAGCGATGGCGAGAACGTCGTCCTTGCCCATTTTGTTTTTCCCAGCCATCCTGCGGTGTTGGGCCCTCGCGCCCCCTGCTCCTCCCCCGCCTCCTCCCGTCCTGCCTCCACCCTCCGCGCGTCGAACATGTCGGCGCATCCCTCGCACGTCTCGTGGCCCCACAGGACTGGGCATCGCTCGGACGTGTGCATGTTTCCTTCGGCGAGGACCATCGAGGAGCATCCTCGATCATTTGAGGGAAAAACCACGCACGAAACCGACAAAAAACACAGGGAATGGACGTCCGAGCGATGGCCAGAGGAAGCACCGGCGAGGCAGCGTCCGCAGGGCGCACCCGCACCCGATTCGGCCCGACCCCTCACACGTTTCGCAGTCCCAGAAATCACCAGCCTGGAACATATCCCTATCCCTATGCTGGGCATCTCCTCCTCACGATGCCAAGCTTAGGGACTCCCTCATTTTTTGAGGGCGACTCCCTAAGACTTTGAGGGCGCATCCCTGAGATTGTCATCGCCTTTTGGCGTGCCAATCTTAGGGGTAGGGATACGTTCGAGACTGGTAAAGAAGGAGCTCCACCGAACGCCCCAGTCGCAGCGCCCGCGTGGCGCCCGCGCACCCGCTTCGGCAGACCCCATCACACGTTTCGTGGCCCCATGGAGGGAGATCCACCGAAGACTGAATCTGGTGGGGCCCTTCGCCAGGATATGTTTTGAGCCGCTTGGTTCGACTCACCGTCCTCACAGGGCAGGAGCACGGAATACGAATATAGATCCTCGTTTTCTTCCCCCCATCTTCCTACACATCGTCCTTCTCTGTGCGCTTCGACGTGGAGACTGACTCTCTGGTTCTCACCGGACGGAACGGAGGCGGATGGATTAGGGAGAGGGCCATGGGGAGGGGAAAGGAGTGGAGAGGGGGAGTGGGAGGGCAAGACGGAAGGGAAGGAGGAGGAGGAGGAGGAGGAAAAGGAGGAATGGAGGAAGGAAGACGAGAGAAGATGGATGATCTAGGATGGGAGGGGAGAAATGGAGGGATGGGGAGTGAGGAAGAGGATGGCCACGCGCAGGAGCAAGAGCAGGAGGGGGCGGGGCACGATCGTGCTGCGCTGTTCGCTGGTGCGGACCCTCCGATCGACCTGCGGGGTTCAAGTCAGATCAGGCGAAGCACAATTGCGAAAAAAGCGTGAATCCAGAGTGACCGGAGTACTTCCAGAAAAAGCTGGACAAATTGCGGAAGGTCCAGCTCGAGCAGAGAGAGAGAGAGAGAGAGAGAGAGAGACAAAGACAGAGACAGAGACAGAGACAGAGAGCAGAAGTCGTTCAGCTTTTCACAGAGGAAGAGGAGGAGGAGGAGGAGGAGGAGGAGGAGGAGGAGTAGGAGGAGGAGACGGAGAAGGAGGACCAGTGCAAACCCAAGATTCATCAATGGAATAAACCCTTCCTCCAAGCTCCCTCTTCATGGGCCCCCGCAATGGTTCATTTCCACTGAGGCGTGCCAACGCACCTTGTTCGGGACTCCAACGCCACGAATCAGCATGAGTGTTGCGTCTTGATGACCTTGAATCGTGCCAGACCACCATTCGCGGGACTTTCACACGAATCAGCGTAATTGGCGCGCTTTCTCAATCCTGAGTTTTCTAAAACCATTCCTGGCACTTTGACAATGGGAACCCGTGTAACTGTTGCAAATGTTTAACAATCTTTCTGCGCGGCGCCAAGGCGAGAGCCACATTTTGAAAAGGAATCACCCTCAATCCGTGAAGCTCTATAGCTTTTGTAACGAATGTGCGCGGCGCTGAAGCGAGAACCACTTGTTGAAAACGGCCTGCCATCAATCCGTAAACAAAAATTGCATTTGTTTCCAACGAGCGCACGTGGCGCTAAGGCGAGAGCCGCATTTTGAAAGCCACCCGCCCTCAATCCGTGAAGCTCTTGTTCATGTTTCCGCGGCGCCAAGGCGAGACCCCACATTTTGAAAACAAACCACCCTCAATCCGTGAAGCTCTTGGAAATGTTGAAAACGAATGTGCGCGGCGCTCAGGCGCTTTTCACATTTTGAAAGCGACTCGCCCACATTCCGTCAAACTGTTGCCAATGTTCAAATTTCGAGGCCATGAATGGTGAGGGCGTTTCAGGCGAAACGCTTGGCCCGCCCTTCCGATCGGCCTCGGGGTGCGACAGGGAGGAGCTATTTCTAAGAAGAGGATTGGAGGAGGAGGAGGAGGAGGAGGAGCAGCAGCAGCAGCAGAAGGACGAGGAGGAGGAGGAGGAGGAGGAGCAGCAGCAGAAGGAGGAGGAGGAGGAGGAGGAGGAAAAGGAGGCGCCCGTCATCTTGTGTGTGTGTGCAGAGTGTTTTGTTCCTCCAGTCCTGTGGAGGCCTGCGGGACAAGCCGGGCAAGTCGGCGGACTTCTACCACACCTGCTACTCCCTCAGCGGCTCGGCCGTGTCCCAGTTCGGCACCGACGGGAGCCGCGCGGGGCGGCCGTTTGGAGGGATCTCTCTTGGCGCAGCCTCGCGCGCCTTCGGAGGTCCGCACGGACTTCTCGGATCGGTGCTGGACCCGTCTCCCGGGAGCGCGGAGCGCGCCAGGGGCGGCGCCCGAGGCGCCGCCAGGGGGGTCCAGCGCCGATCCAAGAAGTCCGCGCGGACCTCCGACAGCTGTTCTGTCCATGCAGGTTTCCGCCCGTCCACATCTTGCCAGAGGACCCAGAAGCGACGAGAATGAGCCGTCCTCAGGCAGCTCCTATCTCCTGTGCCTCTCAATCCGTCGTGCCGTTCCGCACGGGCCCCGGGGCCGCGGGGCACGTCGTGCGCCCATCGCATGTCAGGGCGTCGTTCTGCCGCCCTGGACATGCCTCGCGCCGCAGGGGGCGGCGACTGGGGGGTCCCGGCGCGGCCCCGGAGCCCCAAGGGTTAAGTCGTCGGCCCTGTCCCCATGCAGGGGGATCTTCGACGAAAAATAGAAAATACCCCCAAATTCCTTCAAAAGGGCCAAAAATACTCCAAAAATCGTCCCCCGACTATTTTGAATTGTGGTTTGATTATCTTTGGGGGTATTTTTTGTGTTTCGTCGAACATCCCCCTGTGGTGGGACAGGCCCGACCTGGCCCAGGTGTGCGTTTGAGTGCCTCTGGCGTATGACTTTGGTGAGTTCACAAAGTCCTTGAGCTTGAGAGTGTTTACAGGTGAGGGGACCGGACCATAACCACTTTGGCTCAAGTCCTTTCTCTCTTCACTAAGCCCGATCCGACCCATTCCCATACCCTTCCCATCATCCTCTCATCCCTTCCTGTATATACCTGGAGGGTCACCGTGCTGATAGACGGACGCCTGGGGGTTGCCGAGTCAGGGTTTAGCCAGGAAAGAGCACCATACACTTCGTCAACGTCGTCGTCCAGGGAACAGTGGTAGCGGAGCGTCTGAGGACGCTCTGGTCGATCTGCGGACGATATGACGGGATCGGAGACTGGTGACAACTCGAATGGCGGGACTCGGAACAGTGGCCAGGAGTCTATCGAGCAGGTCATAGAGATCGCGCAGCAGTGGCAAAACGAGGACGGACAGTTCCAGATCACGGCGGAACAAATGCGCACGTTCCTAGAGCAGGCCAGAAGTCTCATGGTGGCAGAAGCGTCGAGTGCCGGTCAGGGTGTGAGCTCAAAGGCCACGGCAGACGCGGACAACACCAAGAATGGCCAAGGAGAAGAACGGGACGATCAGTCATGGAACTCGTCGGCACGGTGGAGCAAGGTAGGCGACACAGCTGTCGCCAGTCCAGCTCCACGGGGGGAACGAGATCCATGGCAGCCAGACGGACAGGATCCTTGGAGCCAGGCTTCGAGCAGCTGGACGGACAAGCACGACGGCTGGAAGGATCACTCCAACGGTTGGAAAGACAAGTTCGACAGCTGGAGGGACAAGTCGGACGAATGGCGGTCAAACTATTGGCAGAGCCGCGACTGGAACGATAGCAAGTGGGGCGAAACGTCGGGGACCGAGAAGTGGAAGACCGACGAGAGGACACGCGGGAGGGACTTCGCAGATCCTGAGGCATGGCCCGGCTGGTCAGAGTTCAAGCTCTGGCGGCGGAAGGTGATGCGATGGCGGCAGACGACAGATGTGGAGGCACATAAGCACGCGGATCGCATCATGAAGCTGCTGCCGATCGACTTGCAGCGGAAGCTGGAAGACATCACCGACGAAGATCTGATATCAGACAGTGGGGCAGACAAGGTTATAGCCAGGCTGGATCTGCACTCGGGAGAACGAGTCGGAGACGAGAAGCGTAAAGCAGGACGTGAATGCTTGTTTTCGTTTCAACGCAAGCAAGGAGAAGGACTCACTGAGTACGCAGCGAGGTTGGACCTGGCTTTCGACAAGGTCGGTACTCTCGGACTTCCTCTACCCGATGATTGGAAATACATGTTCTTGGAAGAGGGAGCTGGACTGGATGAGCGAGGTACTCAGTTGATGAAGATTCAGATGAAAACAAAAGATTCCTACAAAGAGGCTTTGGCAGCCATCCGCGAGATGGACGTGACCAGGCGTGAACATCTCAGCAATCACCGATCTCGAGCCTACCACGTCGAGCAGTCTGAGGTCGTCAAACCAAGTTTCCCTGTACATGAGCCCAACTCCGCTGACGACCAGGACACGGACTCCCTCCTCGACTGGGACGACGTATCCTCTTTGGACACTGAGGGTGAGGCAGAGATATATGTAGCGCTGGACAAGATGGACCTGTACGACGACGAGCTCAAGTACGTGTTCAACACCATGCAGGAGGACAGGCGCAAGACATGGAAGCAGAACCGCGACTTGAAGAGAAAGCTCAAAGTGGATCGTAAGTTCTTCGACCGCTCGAATGAGATCGAGATCAAGATCGGCGACAAGAGCAAGTTCAACAAGGGACATCGCTCGGCGAAGGGAGAGCATCGACCCAGACGCAATCGACTACCTCTCGCGGAGCTGATCAAGAGGACCAAGTGCAGGTCTTGCGGCAAGAAGGGCCACTGGTCACGCGAATGTCCAGACCGGAACGGCCAGAGCCACGGCGCCAGTGCAACCGGAGGAGGGACTGCGTCTTTCGTCACCGGCTATGTGCACGCAAACGTGGTCGACCCCAACGCCCCGGAGGACGTGTCCAGCGGCCAGGGGCGGCAGCAGCAGGACGAGCCCCGCCCGGGGAGGCGGTAGTGGACACCGCGGCAGGACAAGGTCTGATCGGAAAGCCTTCTCTGAGCCAGCATGTAGAAGCTTTGAAAAGAAAGGGCCTCAGGGTCCCTCTCGTGGCCCCTCGAAACCCGTCAGCTCGGGGAGTGGGCGGAGGCACGAGGGTGCTTCACACGGCCCTCATTCCCACGGGGGTCCAGGGAAAGTCCGGGATCATCGAGCTAGATGTACTTCAGGAGGACATTCCGCCTTTGCTCCCAGTAGGATTTCAAGAAATGCTGGGGTCCAAGATCGATTTGGAAGAAAACACCATGGACCTCAAGCGTTTAGGAGTCAAAGTAGGCATGAATCGTCTACCCAGTGGGCACCGCACCATCAGGATCGATGACTTTCAAGCCTCGGGCGCCGATTTCAAGTGCCCAGAGGCGGTCTTTCAGCGGCATCCTTCGCTGAAAGAGAGTGATTTTCACTGCGACAGTGGCCGCGCAGGCAGCTCGGGAAAGTACACGCCTTTCTACCTCACCTCCAGCAGCGACCAGGGGGGCCGAGAGAGCCTAGCCGAGTCTGGCCGTGGCGACCCTAAGGTCCTGGGTCCGGGTCCTACCGTTTCCAGCTTGGGCGTTCCGGAAGACACGGAGGGGTCGGGGACGCCGTTCGGGGAAAACAAGCACTGTCGGACTTCGGATCTTCGATCTGGATCGGGTCACCGCCACACTAAGGGAGACGCATCAGGAGAGGAAGTAGGAAAGAGCAGCACCACGAGCGCGACCTGGTCCAGATCGGAGACCCGGTCGAGAAGCAGCACATGGAGAGTGGGTTGTCTATTGACGTCGTTCGCGTTCGGGCAGCTCATTGGCTCAAGCATCTGGGCCAATCTCGATTTCGACGACGCTGTCGGCACATGCCACCGAGTTCGACAGCTCTCAGGTGTCGGCAGTCGCGATGCCGAGGAAGGCGCAACCTACCGAGGCTCAGCTTCGCGAGAGGCGCCCGGCCACCATGGCCGAGCAGGTGGCCGGCACCGACACGACCTGGACGTACGCTGTGACGGGCACGACGGTACCGGACCACCTCAACAAAGCTCAGCGCGGTTGGGCATGCATGGTCGGCAGCACCATGTTCTGGCTCAACAAGCTCGCCGACGAGTTTGGACGCATGATGGTGACGCGCAGATTCTGGCCCACCAACCTGCCGAAGTCGCTCAAGGTCGTGCCCCAGGCCTACTTTACTTGTTGGCATCCTCCGATCAGCGTCGACTACGGCTGCAATGGATATGGTGCCTGGTGGGTCTGCTCGGACTGCACCATGCGAGTTGGATACCTCGACAAGAAGCCAGACAAGACGAAGAAGGAGCCAGACGTGACATGCTTGTGCAAGCGCAGGACTGCGGCGTGCTCGCTCTGTGGGCGGGGCTTCGCTCAACAGAAGGGCGCCGACCCAGAATGGCGAGCTCTGGTGGCCGCTCCAGCGCCGCCGCCCGGCACTCGCGGAGTCACGCCCGCTGGAGTACCACCGCCTTGGCCAGCCCAGGCCGAGTCGGGAGCCGCTCAGCAGTGCACCCGAGCGAGCGAGGCCGACCGGGCGGACTGGGTGATGAGCGAGGCGGAGGGCGACCTGCGCCGCAAGAAGCAGCTTCAACGACAAGAGGCCGCAGCGGCAGCGGCAGCGTCAGGGCCAGCTACTCCTCGGGAGCCGCGCAGTCGGAAGCCAGAGAACGGCGGGGATCTCTCAGAGGTGATGCGGATGCTGAGGGACATGAGCGCCAAGCAGGAGGAGCAGCAGAATGCGATCAGCCAGCTGACGAAGGTGACGTCCGGCCAGATGCACGCGATGGCGCTACTCCAGTCCCAGGTGCAGGCCCAGAGCCCGGTCAATGAGCAGTTCTTGATCAAGGAGCAGCAGTCACAGTCACCGGGACAATCGTCACAGCAGCCAGAGTCGAAGCAGGAGATGCAGCCAGGCCCAGCGAGACCAATCCCATCGGCGATGGCAGAGCCAGCAATGCCGGGAAAAGGGTTCGCCTCAGTGGTTCTTCCCAACGGCGGCGGAGGTGCTCTCTCAGTCCTTCCAGGTGGACCGGGCGCTCATGGAGGAGTTCCTCACCACTACATCGGGACACCAGACGGAGGACACCAGACGTCGATAGCTACTACCCCGCATCTTGCAGCGCAGCAGGCTCCACCGGAGGCGTCCTTCCAGATGATCGCGACCGCGCCGTTGGTTGCAGCCTACCCGAACTACGCGGCAGCACCACCTTTGCAGGAGCCGCAGGGACAGACGAAGGGTCACGGCAAGGGACCGGACAACCCGACGGGCCTGATGGACCAGAGGGGCAACCTGCTGTCTTCTACCACGATCAGCAGCATCGATCTTCCAGGATCGGCCTTGCCTTCACAACAGTTGGCAGCGGCGGCTCCGCAGAAGCGACCTTCTCACCTTTCGAGGCCCTCTGCCGAGCAAGGAGATCCCTGGAAGGAGTCGCCCGAGGAGAAGCAGGCGCGGGACCAGCGCCGGAAGGACGCGGAGGAGGCGGCCAAGCGCGACAAGGACCGTCTGGCGCGGGATGGCTGGACGGCAGCGGGGTGGAAGTCGTGGGACGGCTGGGACAGCGGCGACCAGAGGTGGGACAAGGGCGGCCAGAAGCGGTAGAGCCGATCTCGAGCGCTGTCCGGAGCGCCCCGGGATCCGAGGGAGCCAGTACCAGGACGGGGGACGCCAATCTCTGCAGTCTCTTCGAGGTAGCCTCTGAAAGATGTCAGGCCTTTCAGGACCACTTCGATATCGAATGGAAAGGGGAAGAAAAAGGAAAGGTTCGATTCGTGTGTCCAGAGCTCGATGACGCCATCTTCCACGATCCCTTTTCCGACGAATCAGAAGTTATGATGACCCGACGTCAAAAGAAAGACATGCTTAGAGATTCCGGCATCTCTGAACGATATAAGCTCACTAAGTGTTTTAGGACCCACTTGCGGAATCGGGCCTTCATGGAGGTCTTTTCTCCTCCGCGGGTAGCGCGGTTTGCTCAGCGCGCGGGGATTTCCTGTCTAGGCAGCTTTGATAAGGAGGGAGGCTGGGATTTCACTAGGAAGGGGGATCGAGACAGGTTTGAAGCCTTGGTGAGGAAGAAGGAGCCCTGGATGGTCCTCCTGGAACCTCCTTGTGGCCCATTTTCGATATCCAGGAACGCATATGCTCATCGGGAGATAACCGAAGCGCAGCGGCAGAAGGATGCCGAAGCACTGCTTCTCCTAGGTTTTGCCATGGAGATCGCTATGATACAGGTCGAAGGCGGCCGCAAGTTCGCTTTTGAGCACCCCTCAGGTGCATCCTCCTGGTCGACCCAGGCCGTTCAGCACATTTTGGGACTGGAAGGGGTAGAACACACCAATATAGATATGTGTTACTTCGGTCTCAGTGTCGACAAGAGCGGGGATTTGTCTCGGAAGCCGACCCGTTTGATGTCTAACTGCCCCAGGTTCCTGGATCGTTTCTCCTCCGCCAAGTGTTCCGGGGATCACGTGCACGCTCAGTTGATCGGGGGAGGAATGACATCGAAAGCTCGCGCTTATCCGCCAAAGTTCGCGAGGGCCCTGGCCGAGGCTATCAGGTCTAGCGTGGAAGATACTCACCCGGGTCCCACCTCCGAGGAGGTCAGAGTGGTCAGAAGGCCACAGTACCAGCTCCTTGTTGAGCCGCCAGGGGGGTTATGTTTTCCTACGGGGACTGGGGAGGCTTCCAGCCCTACCGAGGCGGCAGCCGGAGGGGGCGAGGACGCCCGCCCTGACGACGAACAGGGCGAGGAAGCGGAAGCCGAGGAAGGTCCGGGGCCCGAAGACGAGAAATTCGTCATCACAGCCCCGGTGAAGCGTATGATACACAAAGTTCATGTGAATCTAGCTCACCCCCACAAAGACGTCTTTCTTAAAATACTCAAGGCGGCCCAGGCGAAGCCAGAGGTTTTGCGATACGTCCGGGATGAGTTCACATGCGGGGACTGCCAGGCCCATTCCAGGACGGCCGCTTGTCGGCCAGCCGCGGTCCCGAAGACGTTTGAGTTTAACAAAATCATCGCTCTCGACACGTTTTACCTCGCGTTCAAGGACCAAAAGCTGGCCTTTCTCAATGTTATATGTCACGGGACAAACTTTCAGGTTGTGGAGCTCTACGACGGCACGGCTCTCGGCGCCTGGCAAGCGTTCATGCGTGCCTGGGTAAGACCTTTCGGCCCGCCAGTGTTCGCCATCACAGATGGCGGTCCCGAGTTCAAGGGACAATTCGAGAGGGGAGTGGAACATTTAGGGATATTTCACCATATCACGGACTCCGAGAGTCCCTGGCAGAACGGCAGGGCAGAAAGGCACGGAGGATGGGTGAAAGAAATTCTGCTCAAAGCCTCCGAGACGACCCTCGTCACCACGGTGCCGGAACTCGAAACACTGGTTCACGAGGTCACCGCGGCCAAGAACAGATACCTGCATCGGGGGGGCTTTACTCCCTATCAACTCGTTTTCGGGAGAAACCCCAGGATTCCCAACGATATTTTGGCCGACGATCCGATTCAGGTCGTTGGAGTCGAGGATCTATCTCCCGGGTCCTGGGACCGAGACACCGCGTCAGCGGAGTTCGCGAGGCGAGATGCCATTCGCCGGCATGCTCGCAAGGAGCTGTTTGAAAGTTCCAGTTTAAAGAAGTTGGCCAGCGCTGTCAAGGCGCCCACCCATCGGGATAAGCATTTTGTGCCTGGGCAGTGGGTCTACGTATGGCGCAGAGCGCCAGAGGGGGGACAAAAGACCTACGCCTTACAGAAGGATAGGTGGGTTGGGCCAGGGCTCGTCGTGATTCAAAACGGTGGAACCATATGGGTCGCGATGCGATCGAGGCTCTGGAAATGCTCATCGGAGCAAGTCAGGCCGGCGAACACGGAAGAATCCAGGGGGGGGGAAGTTATGGCGGATCCCGCCATTCAACAGCTTCTCAGAGAGGCCCAGGTCAGTGGCCACCGAGCGGGAACCAACGTGGCCTCCGAAGGCCCTCCTCCTCCGGAAGCTTGGGACCTGGGGGGGCCCATGGAAGACGGTCCCGGAGTTGACGTTCCTGATCTAGAGAGGGACTCAGGGGCGGCCGCCGGAGAATCGCTCGAGCGATCACCTCAACCGCCTTCTGGAACGGAAGAGGACCCCCGAGGAGGCAGAGCGGGACGAGAGGGTCCGGCTCTCGAGGCTCCTCCGGGACTCTCTCCCATTCCGGAGGGAGAAGAAGTGGCTCCCTCGGACGACACCAGGGATCCTGGGCCAGGGGGAGGTCAAATGTCCAGAGAAGTCTCCTCTGGTCCAGCTAACTCCGGGGTTCTGTCTCGATCTGAGTCAAGGGACTCTCTTGCACCGTCAGGCGCTGCGTCCCGCACCGCGTCGGAGAGGGACGGCGCCGCGGGCAGGAGCACGCGACGAAGGCCCCCTCCTCCACCACAGGGAGAGAAGAGAGGGCGCGCCACAGAGCCCGGGGCCGCTCCCTCCGGAGAGTTGCCCGAGCCGTCTAGTGGCGCTATCGACACGGCTCCGCCCATCAATCCTCGGAGATTGAGCATAGCCGATACAGCGAGCCAACATCGCAATGCCGATTCAGACCCCGGTCGGATCCTGCGCGAGATGCAGGAAGCTGTGAGGCACAATCGACAGTTAGACGGGTATAGACTGTCCAGGCTCACTCCAGGAGAGACTTTCCGGGGGACTCCAGCAGGTAGAGTTCAGCAGCAGGTCTCGGAGTTAGAATCGGTGCCACAGCATCCTCGTGCCAGATCTCGCTCACCAGGCCCTCCCTCGAGCACGGCTCTTGTGGATACCTTAGTTGCTTCAGGACCCGAGGAGGCCACTGCCGTGGCTGACGCGTTCTTTGAGGCTTGCTCCAGCAGCGGTCCGGGTCCTGGAGCCGTTTTTCAAGGCTTGGATCAAAGACTCCAGGAGGAGGGCTGGAGCGGATCCTGGATCACCTACTCCAATGGCAACGCCGATGTGGAGATAGTCCCCCACGAGTCTGGCGATTGTTCCCTCTCGCTTTTGACCAACCGGGGAGCCGAGGTCCACTACAAAAATCTGAACCCCGAGGAAAAGAAAGAGTTCGACGTTTCGGACTCGGCCGAGTGGAAGGCCATAGCTGAGGGGACTAGTGCCGTCATCGTCCATCCTCCGGACAAGGCGAAAGAGCTTAGGAGGCTCTTCCCGAGTCGAATCGTGTCCAGCCGCATGGTGAGAAGGTGGAAACCACAAGAGGGGACGTTTGCTAAACCTAAGGCTAAATCTAGGTGGTGTGTTCGTGGGCACCAAGATGAGGACACGTGCGAGCTCCAGGTTTACGCCCCAACCCCCCGCATGGAAGCTCTTATGCTGTTTCTGGTGGTGGCGCTCATGTATAAGTTGACGATATACATTGGCGATATCAAAAACGCGTTTTGCCAGTCTGAGCCCTTGAAGAGGGCTCGCGGTCGGGTTTTCGTCGAACCATGTGACGGGGTGCCAGTGCCACCAGGATCTCTCATTGAGCTCATAGCTCCAGTTTACGGGCTTGATGCCCCGTTAGCCTTTCACCGCACTGCAGCTAACTTCATGCACACTCAGGGCCGAGCGGACCAAGTTAGAGCCCTGCTGGTTTGTGAAGCGCTCCGACCGCGGGCTGGAGGCCCAAGTGCTCGTCGAAGTCGACGACTGACTGGGCCATCGCGTTCAAGCCCGGGTCAGAAGATCAGTACATCAAGCCCTTCAAGTCAAGGTTTACTTTCGGGAAGATGCGTCTACTGGACGCGGAAGGGGTGGAGTACATCGGGAGGAGATTGAGGTTAGACGGGGATCGTATTCTGGTGGATCAAGAAAAATACATTTTAGAGCAACTCCAGAAGATCCCTCTGGCCCGCGGCAGGAAAGGAGACCACGGGGCCCCTCTGCTAGGAGGCGAAGTAGCAGCCTTTAGGTCCCTTGTCTATAAGCTGCAGTGGGTAGGTCGCGAGACCAGGGCGGAGGCCGCCGGCGCGGCTTCCATATTAGCCACGAAGGTCAACCGCCCTTGCGTTCGCGACTTGCTCGATGCCAACAAGATGGTGGATCATCTCCGCTCGACGGCCTCGCTTCCCGTCATCGTGTGGCGTTTCAAGCCGGACGGATTCGTCCTGGCGGCTGCCAGCGATTGCGGTGGAGTGGGGGCGGAGGACAAAGATGGTCTGCAACATCCTCAGGAGGCTTGGCAGATATATGTTGCCGACAATTCCCTGGCCCACGGGTCCCGGGCCCGCGTCACTCCGATTGCGTGGAGGTCTGGGAAAGTCAGGCGACAGGTATCTTCCACCCTCGCTGGGGAGACCCTTTCATTGTCCAGCGCTCTAGGAGAGGCCGAGTGGCTTCAAATATTGTTGCTGGACGTAGTTCGAGGAAACGTGGTCCACGAAAGGTGGAGAGAGCACATAGGTCCTTTCGTCGCCATCTCAAAGGACGAGTGCCAGGTTCTTGGGGAGCCACAGTCCGGGAACCTGAGCGTGGTCGACGCAAAGGGTATATACGACACGCTCTCAAAGCTCACGGCGGGGTCCAAGTCGGACCGGCGGGCAGCCATAGACTTAGCGGTGGCCAGGACATCTATGGAGAAAATCGGAAGCGCGATCCGCTGGATGCCGCATCCACTGATGCCCGTAGATTGTATGACCAAATCGGATCTAGCCAAGACTAATGCCGCTCAGTTGACTATGCTCAAGTCAGGCATGCTTCGTCTTTCGGCGGAGGAATCCGCTATCCAGGAAAGAAAAGAGGACCCCAGGACCAAGGGGCGTTCCAGAGCCGAATCGAGGCGACAGCTCCAGTAGGCTTCCCCACGGTGCGCTGTCTCCTCCCACCTTTTTGCTCTGGGCACTCCCAGAGGCGCAGCCGACAAGGGCTCCATGGCGCGATCAGCGCTAGAGGAGCTCTTTCAATTTTGCCTCTGCGTCCGACTCTCGCAGCGCCGGCGACTGCCTTTTCTAGGAACGCCGTCTGGCCAGAGAGGAGCGACCTCGCGCTCCAAGTACGCTGTTGTTGCCGGTGCAAGAGAGAGAGTTGCCTTGGGTACGAGGACGGAGTCCCTTGTGCCACGTCGTGTTTCACTAGTTTCAGATGACCCTCCAGGCAGAGTGGATGGTCTGGTCCTCATCACTTCAAGCTCACTGTTTTTCGTGGCACTGTGCGTTTGAGTGCCTCTGGCGTATGACTTTGGTGAGTTCACAAAGTCCTTGAGCTTGAGAGTGTTTACAGGTGAGGGGACCGGACCATAACCACTTTGGCTCAAGTCCTTTCTCTCTTCACTAAGCCCGATCCGACCCATTCCCATACCCTTCCCATCATCCTCTCATCCCTTCCTGTATATACCTGGAGGGTCACCGTGCTGATAGACGGACGCCTGGGGGTTGCCGAGTCAGGGTTTAGCCAGGAAAGAGCACCATACACTTCGTCAACGTCATCGTCCAGGGAACACAGGGGCCGCCCTTCTCCCTCCCGGGGCGGCGGCACGCGAGGCGCGGAGGCGCAGCCCGGGCGCGCCTCGCGCTCCTCGCGGGGTGCGAGTAGCGCGGAGGGGTGACGGCCCGCGGCCCGGGCGCGTCAATGACGTCAGGGGGGCGCAGCTCTGTCGATCCTCCGCTCCTCGAGCCTCGATAGATCCTTGATCCTCGATCCTCGATCGATCCTCGATCCTCGATAGATCTTCGATAGATCCTCGATCCTCGATCCTCCGATCCTCGATCGATCCTCGATCCTCCGATCCTCGATCCTCGATCCTCGACAGATCCTCGATGAACGTGTCCGTGTCCGCGGCCTCGCTGGCCCGGCGGGCCGCGACCCTGCGGACGCGGAGCGGGTATTCGAGGAGTTCCACGCGGGGGGCGTATTTTGTGCGGACGCGTGTGCGCGGGATGGCGCCCGGGGGTGCCAGGCCGCGAGGGCGCGGGCACGGATGTGTTCGCCGCGCGTGAGGCGTGGCGCTTGGCCCCTGAGAGCCGAGAAGGCTTGGGCCTGACCGGACTGCGACCGAGGCGGTGACCGGAATTTGAACCTCGCGTGGACCGCAAACCGCAGACTGGTTTGATCGGTCACGCTCCAGCGCGTTCGGGAAAGTTCAGGCGCCAGCTTCGATCACGCGCGGGAAGCTGTTCGGGCACGGGTTCGGCCGCTGCACCTCCCTGCAGGTGCGATGCCACGTGAGGTCAGCGTCGGCATGAAAAGAACCACGTTTGCACGGTGTGAATTATCTTCGAATGACGAGGGCGAGGCCGAGGGCCACGAATAGTTGGCAGCTCTGTTGCCGCCCCCTTTCTGGCCACCACCAGGGGAGCTCTGGTGCGCCGTCCCCCTGAGGGACTCAGGGGCAACGTTGGGTGTAGACATGCTCAGGGTGGACGCATCGACCCTACGGTCGGGACCCTGAAGAAGGAGCCCTTCTCGTTGGGGAGGGGCTCCGCGTTCCTTCGGTGTTTCACAGCTTGCCTCAGATGTTCCTTAGGTTGCCGATACGAAATCGAAGCTCAACTTATGGAAAAAAAAGGCCTCGTTCCTTATCTAGGGTTCCTTAGGTCAAGGCCCCGACTGTAGACAGGCTCAGGGTGGACGCATCGACCCCAATCGATCATGGATCGCCGATAGCGGCTCGACGACAGCGCACACACCGCCCAGGAACGTCCAGATTCGCCTTCGGGGGCCTGTCGCCGAACTACGGTAGGGGGAAACAATTACTGAACACTCCCCCTCCCCCCAAACTCAATGTTGGCACGCGCGGGGGAGACTGCGGTCGAAGTGCATCTCATCAGACCCACCGCCAACTTTGAACATTGGGGGGGGGGAGGCGTTGACGGATGAATGTGGCATGTGTTTGCTAATTTGTTCCGAGGCCTGTATCGACGATGTGTCGACGATTCCAGATCGGTGCTTCCCCTCCTCGGATGGTCCCACCCTTCGGTTCCCCCTCGCCATTGGACGGGGGCCCATCGGTTCCGGCGCCGTCTCGAGAGGCCGTCTAATACGATGGGTTCCAGGGGTGCCAGAATCTTCGAGTATGGGATCGACTAGAGAATTGCTGCACGCCAGAATTAATCTACTCGTCGAATCTACACGAAGGACGTCGCATGTTTCGCGGGCTTGACGAGAAGACCAAGTTTGGGGGGAAAACCGTTCTGCAGCCGCGCCCCCACTCGAGAACTGGTTCAAGTCAGCAGCGAAGGCGAGCGCCAGCGCGGTCGAGCGCAGGCGGGCCTCGCGCAGCGAGGGCGCGCTGGGGGCAGGAGGGGCAGAAGAGAGCTTGGCATCGCTCGGACGTGTGCATGTTTCCTTCGGCGAGGACCACCGAGGAGCATCCTTGATCACTTGGCGAAAGAACCACGCACGAAACCGAACAAAAACACAGGAAATGGACGTCCGAGCGATGGCCAGAGGAGGGGAGGGGCGCGGGGGAGAGCGGTCACCGAGGCCTCAGGCGCAGGGGGTCCACACCGTCGAGGGTTAGCGCGGGCAGCCTGAGGCACGGGAAGCCAGACGTGCGAGCCCACCCATGTGGCTGGTCGGGTGCCCTCCCGACTGGGAGGCTCCAGACGCACCGCCAGGCGGCCTGGGAATGAGTTGTTCTGCCCGCCTCGTCGGGCAGTCCTTCCCCCTTGCTGGCGACTCAAACATGTTCATGCCGTGAAACATGCACGTGAGAAAAACAAAACGACTAGAATGTGTGTGTGTGCGTGTGTGCGTGTGTGCGTGTGTGCGTGTGTGCGTGTGTGCGTGTGTGCGTGTGTGCGTGTGTGCGTGTGTGCGTGTGTGCGTGTGTGCGTGTGTGCGTGTGTGTGCGCGTGTGCGCGTGTGCGTGTGTGCGCGTGTGCGCGTGTGCGCGTGTGCGCGTGCGCGCGTGCGCGCGTGTGCGCGTGTGTGCGCGTGTGTGCGCGTGTGTGCGCGTGTGTGCGCGTGTGTGCGCGTGTGTGCGCGTGTGTGCGTGTGCGTGTGTGCGCGTGTGTGCGCGTGTGTGCGCGTGTGTGTGCGCGTGTGTGCGCGTGTGTGCGTGTGTGTGCGCGTGTGCGCGTGTGTGTGTGTGCGCGTGTGTGCGCGTGTGTGCGCGTGTGTGCGCGTGTGTGCGCGCGGTGTGCGCGTGTGCGCGTGTGCGCGCGTGCGCGCGCGTGCGCGTGCGCGTGCGCGTGCGCGTGCGTGCGTGCGTGCGTGCGTGTGTGCGTGTGTGTGTGTGTGGTGTGTGTGTGTGTGCGGTGTGTGTGGTGTGTGTGGTGTGTGTGGTGTGTGTGTGTGGTGTGTGTGGTGTGGTGGTGTGTGTGGTGTGTGTGGTTTGTGTGTGTGTGTGTTAGAGTGAGAGTGTGAGTGTGAGTGTGAGTGTGAGTGTGAGTGTGAGTGTGAGTGTGAGTGCGAGTGTGAGTGAGTGTGTGTGTGTGGTGGGGGGGGAAAGGGGTGTGGGGGGGGGGGTGTGGGGGGGGGGGGGGTGGGGGGGTGGGGGGGGGGGGGGGGGGGGGGGGGGGGTGGGGGGTGTGGGGGGGGGGTGGTGTGGTGTGGTGTGTGGTGTGTGGTGTGTGGTGTGTGGTGTGTGGTGTGTGGTGTGTGGTGTGTGGTGTGTGGTGTGCGGTGTGTGGTGTGTGGTGTGTGGTGTGTGGTGTGTGGTGTGTGGTGTGTGGTGTGTGGTGTGTGGTGTATGGTGTGTGGTGTGTGGTGTGTGGTGTGTGGTGTGTGTGTGTGTTGTCGTTCTCGGCCGCATGGCGCCGTGTGTTTGGGGAAGCAAGCGTGAAGAGTCATGTTGCCGTGTTGAAGGTTTGAGCTGGAGCCAGTGGGGTCTAGGCAGGGTGGGGGACGCGGACGGGGAGAAGGAGGGAAGGAATAGGAGGAGAACGGGATAACGGTTCGTTCATCTCTCCGTTTTCTTTGGTTTTGGCTTCTCAGAGTTGCAGACCCAGTAGATAGTCTGCAGTCGGGCGTGTCTGACGGTCGACTGATAAGCAGATCTCTGCGCGGCCATTTTCGCGCTTCTTCTGCTTCCCCCTCTGAGGAGCACTTGTGTGGTGGGCGACCCAGACAACCTGCTCGAGCAGACCGACATGTACTATAACGTGCTCCCCACTGTCTCCCCCGTGCGTCAGGAGGGCTCGGAAAACAGCACCAGGACCTCGACATCCGAATGCCAGTCGAGGTCCCAAGCAGTCCAGAATAAGGTCTGTAGGTCTGGAGGGTCAGTGCCCCCCGTCCCCCTCCCTGGCCGCTGGAGAGCCCTCGCACACGACACCCCGCGCGCTGCGCCCCCTGCGGCCCGCGCTGCTGTCAATCGATAGCATCCCGATCCAGGAACATGGCCAGCCAGCGTGGGCCCCAAAGAGTGAGCCATTGCAACGTGGAGGTGGAAGGCATGCGGTGCAAGCCGTGCTGCGCAAGCTGTGTCGTGTGAGCTATGCTGCGTGAGCTATGATCGTGCAACAAAAGCCTGGCATCGCTCGGACGTGTGCATTTTTTCTCGGCGAGAACCATCGAGGAGTATCCTTGATCATTTGGCGAAAAAACCACGCACGAAACGGAAAACAACACAGGGAATGGACGTCCGAGCGATGCCCAGAAAGGTGTCAGGCACGTGGGGCTGGCTGCGCTGCCGTGTCGTGCGCGTGGTGGGAGCTGGAGGTGAAGCCCGTGCAGCGGCAGCTGCGTGCTGCAGCCCCTGCCGTGCCAGCCGTGCGGTGCCAGCCACGCCGTGCCGTCCAGCAGCCTGTGTCTTTGGAAGCCCGAGATGGGCACGGAAAGAATGGGTACAATGCCCAACAACAAATGTTGTCCCAAACCAACAGCGGCCACTCTTGGACAGGCGGCCTTCTGTCTCAAGTGGACACAGGCCGCGGCGGCGCGGACAGCGAGTATTGTTCAAAATGAACAGGAACTGCTGTTGGGCATTGTGCCCGTTCTTTCCGTGCCCACCTCGTGCGTGCAGAGTGTCCGCCGTGCCGCCCAGCAGCTTGGAGGAGGAGGAGGAGGAGGAGGAGGAGGAGGAGGAGGAGGAGGAGGAAGAGAAGGAGGAGGACGGGAAGGGGAGGAGGAGGGAGGAGGAGGGAGGAGGAGGAGGGCGCCCGCGAGCGCCCACCGAGGCGGCACGCGCGGCCACGCCGCGCAGCCTCGGCGGACCCCCCCCCCCGGGCGCACCGGGGGCGCCCTGCGAGCGCCCAGCGAGGCGGCACGGTCTCGGCAGCGCGGCGCGGTCTCGGCAGGCCCGCCCAGCGCAGGGGGCGCCCCGCGTCCGCCGCGTCCTCCTCCGCCTCCTCCGCCTCCTCCGCCTCCTCCTCCTCCTCCTCCTCCTCCTCCTCCTCCCTCCCTCCCTCCCTCCCTCCCTCCCTCCTCCTCCTCCCTCCCTCCCTCCCTCCCTCCCTCCCTCCCTCCCTCCTCCTCCTCGTCCTCCTCCTTATCCTCCTCCTCCTCCTCCTCCTCCTCCTCCTCCTCCTCCTCCTCCTGCTCCTCCTCCTCGCGGCACGGGGCGGCAGCGTGGAAAATCATCGGCAGACCCGTCCAAGGACTCACGTATCACAGGCAAGAAGCTCGGAGTGCAGGCACGGATGGGAGAGTTGGATCGCGATCCGATCAGTTCTTGGGGTGTTCACCCACCTGCGTCGCGATCCACTTGTTTGTGGCCCGCCTGCACATAGGACTTGTCCAGGCCCCGGGTGTCATCCCGTTTCTCGTGCAGTTCTGTGTATAGAGTCTTCTGTTGTTGTTCGTTGTCCTCTCGTATCTCCCGAGCCCCTCGGATCTCAGAAATCTGCGTGGACCTCCAGAAGTTCATGTTGATAGATTTTGTGCTAGGGTCTCGCGATAACCCAGGATATCGGGCCCGCCCGCACCCAACCCCTAGATAATTGACCTGTCCTTGGCGGTTGCGCAGGTTGATACGTGCGGGCATATTGGGGCTACCCAGGCTACCGTCAAAAAGGATGATCCTGGCGAAGGACCCAACCATGTGCAGTTGTGAGTACCTTCGTTGTGAATATCGCCTTCATTGGGTCTCCTCATGGGGCCTTGTGTGGAGCTGCTTGTGGGGCCACGAAGCGTGGGAAACATGCGAGGGGGGAGGGAACGCATGCGAACGACGGCACTGGGACATTAGATGGAGCTCCCTATTGGGCCATTAGCCGTCTGAGGGGTGTGCCGAAATAGGTGGCGGGGACGCATGCGAACGACGCCACCGGAGCCTTCGGTGGAGCTCCGAACTCCCCACGGGGGCACTACGCCGTGATTGGTGGCGGGGACGCGTGCGGAGGGTGCCGCTTAAGCCTTCGGTGAAGCTCCTTTTGGGGCCGCGAAACGTGCGAGGGGTGTGCCGACATGGGTGGCGGGGACGCATGCAACGAGCGCCACGTGGGACTCTGGGTGGAGCTCCTTGTGGGGCCCGGGTGAGAGGTGTACCGACATGTGTGGCGGGGACGCATGCGAACGGCGCCATTGGCGCTTTGGGTGGAGCTCCCTATAGGGCCACGACACGTGCGAGGGGCGTGTCGAAATGAGCGGCGGGGGCGCATGCGGACAGAATCATTGATGGGGCCACGAAGCGTGTGAAGGGTGTACCGAAATGGGTGGCGGTGACGCATGCGGGCGGTACCATGTGGGCTTTGGGTGGAGCTCCCCATAGGGCCACAAAGCGTGTGAAGGGTGTGGTGACGCATGTGGGCGGCAGCCTTTGGGCCTTGGGTGGATCTCCTTGTGGGGCCACGAAGCATGTGGGGTGTGCCGAACAGGCTGCCTGATGCGGAGACCAGAGGCAGGAATAGACGGAGAGAGAAGCGGGAGGAGCGGCAGCAGGAGGGGGAGGAGGAGGAGGAGAGGAGGAGGAGAGGAGGAGGAGAGGGATGCGGCGCGCTGTCATTTCAAAACGCGGACACAACACCACAGGATGGTCGGGAATGAAACCACGGTTGCAGTCGTACCCAGGTGCCTCTTCTACGCCCAGCCCATCCTGGACCTTCACTGGTCAGGGGCCGCTGGCTTCCAACTTCGGCCTCGGTGTGGGCGTCCAACGGCCGCGCATCCTTGCCGCGCATGCGTATCTTTCTGCTCAAGGCCGCGCATCGGGCCGCGCATTCGCATCCTTGCCGCGCATCGGGCCCGAGCGCCCGTCGGCCTCCCCCCCCCCCTTGCAGCACGCGCGCGGGGCCCGCCGAACCTCGTGGCCTCTCCTCGCCCTCGGGGTCTCCCCTTTGGGCAGTGATCCTCACCGCGCATCCTCGCGATGGGGCCGCACCGCAACGCGTTGCGGTTCGGGGCGGCCCCGGTGTTCCTCGAAACTGTTTTCCTCTTGGTGATCGGTCGTCGAGGAGCGAGGCTCGAGGGGCGAGGGGCGTGGATCGACAGGGCGTGGATCGACGGTGGGTGACGCACTGCTGTTCGGGTCGGTCCTTGCGTTTCCCAGGCCGTGTCCTCGAGTGTCGACGGGGCGCAGGGGGGAGACGACGCGCACGGGCAGGGCTGAGGTGGCGGAGGGTGGCGGAGCCAGAGGGAGCCAGGCGTGTGGCAAGGGGGGGTGACCCAAATCGGGGCTCAAGAGACGGGGGTCAGTGCAAACGGAGGTCAGCCAGGGGCGCATTGACTCGGGCTTGCGTGCAGGATCCTGCAGGATCCTGCAATATCTTGCAGGATTCTGCACAAGCCCTGACTGACCCAGGTTAGGATTGACCCGGGTCAGAAGATCCCCGACCAAATTGCGGGTGAAGAGAAAGGCCCTGAAGGGGCCGTTTGGACCCAGTCGGTGCCCAAAAGGGGCCCTAAAGGGTCCTTTTGGGGTCCTTCTCTTCACCGCTCGTTTGGGTCATCCCACTCTCGCCCGAGGAAGGAGAGTCCGTACTGCAGCCGCAGCCCCCTTCCAGTCAGTGGGAGCGTTGGCAGAGCCCTGGCGCCCCGAGTCTGAGCTCGCATCGGCCGAGGGCCCGCGGAGACACTCTCTCGCGATGCGGTCGCTGGCGCGGGGCCTGGTCGCGCTCGCGGTCTGCGCCGTGTGCCGCGTGCTGGGCGGCGGCACCGCCACGTGCGAGGCACTGGCGGAGGACTACAGGAGCGAGGGCTGCTGCACGGAGGACGCGCCGGCCCCGGCCCCGGCCGCGGCCGTGACGCAGTCCTTCGGCCTGAAGATGTGGGCCGACGGGCTCGCGGCGATACGGAGACGGGCAAACTGCAAACACAGAATATCTGCGGAGGTCCGCGCAGACGTTCTCTTGGATCGGCGCTGGGCGCCTCGGAGGGGGGCTCAGCGCCGGTCCCAGACAGCCGCGCGGGCCTCCGAAAGCATTCATGTCTGTACGGCGTCGGTTCGTCTCCCAGGCGAGCATCGTGGCCCTGCTGGCCGAGTTCCAGGGCTCCCCGGAGCTGCTGGAGAGGCTGGTGCACCCGCTCGACGGAGAGGAGCGGATCTCGGCGCTGCAGTACGAAGGCAACAAGTGGGAGAACCTGACCTTCTGCGCGATCTTCGCGTGGTGCACGCCGCACGGCCCCGCGCTCTGCGATATGAGCTACACGCAGAAGCTGCAGACCCAGTACGTGCTGACCGAGGCCTTCTCCCCCGGAGGCTACCAGACCCTCATGGCCGTCATGAACAGGCACCAGGTCATCGGCGAGCTCGAGGAGCTCGTGACGTCCGAGTGCCACGACAAGGCAGAGCAGATCTACGCGGCCCTGCAGGGCGGCGCCTTCCTGCCGGAGAACTCCGACATCTGGGACGCCGCCGCGGTCGCGGGCGTCGACATCTCGAACTGCAGCTACTTTGCGGTGGCGGGCGCGAGGCCGTCGGACCCTGGGTCAGATTGGCCCGAGTACGGCGCGGACCGCTTCAACGAGACGGCCCACGTCGCTTGGCACTGGGGCTCCACGCCGGGCTGGGAGGGCCGCCTGCGGCAGTTCTGCGACTTCAGCTTCTCCCTCTTCCTCGAGGATCCGGCGAGCTTCGCCGTCGGCCAGGCGTTTGGCTTCCGCTTCGAAGGCCACCACCTCTCGGCCAACATGGTCGTCACCTACGACGCCGACGGGGTGCCAAGAGTCACCGCCACGCCGCTGATGCTGGGTGCGTTTCCCATGGCGTCGCCACCAATTACAGACGCTGCCAGCGGCTCCATTGGCGGGCTGGAGATGTCGGGCTTCCAGCTGCACTCAAAGTGGGTGGAGTCTCAGCTGCTCCTGTTCCACCTGACCCGCCACCTGCGCTCGTTCTTCCAGCTGCTCACTCCAGAGCAGCAGGGCGCGTCCCTGATCGATCCCTCCTACGTGCCGCAGACAGCGCCGTTCAAGAAGACGCTGCCGAACGAGTTCCAGTTCCTCGCGTCCATGACCGCAAACCTGACGCAGGACCACGTGGAGGAGTCCCTCGAGGGGCTGCCGCACATAGAGCTGGAGACGACGGCTCTGAGCATGGAGGCGAAGTGGCACCTCCTGAAGGCCTTCTCGTCGTACTCGGGCCTGCTGTCGTCAGAGGTGGGCGTGCTGTACTCCTCGCGCGTCAACAATGCGCTCGCGGACGGCGGCGGGCGCGTGACTCTCGCGTGGGCCGGCGGGCCCACGGACGATCCTTACTCTGTGTGGGGCTGTTTTGTTCTCGTCGGGGATCTCATTGTCGAGCTCTTCCAAACGAACGAGTGGTCGGTGGAGTTCAACGCGGGCGACATGCGCATGAAGGCGAACCACGTCCACACGATGATGCGCGACCTTCGCAACGCCTGGCATCTGGACCCGCTGGAGACGCACATGCACGAGGGCCACGACCGGAGGCTGGGCGGCGACCACCACCACGACTGCCACAGCGGCCTCTGCGGAGACGGTGGCCAGGGGAATGTCCAGACGGTGGGCGCTGCGGCCCGCGCGTGGACGCAGGCCTTCGAGTCGCTCTTCGCACTTCTTGCCATCATCTGGGTTGCCCGGGTGTGAGAGAGGATGCGCATTTCCGCGAAGATCGCATCGCTTCGCAGGATCTGGGCACGGAGCGCCGAGAGGCCTGCCACTGCGCAGCGCCGGGCCGTCACGACAGCACGCCCTGTGCGCCCCGCCCGGACGCCACTCGTGCGGTTTCACCTCCGGTGTGTTTCGCTGCACTCCGGGCGCTGATGCCCGCCGCAGGTTGATGGGCTTGCTCTCCACCACCACCACCATAAGTTGGAGGGGGGAAGGAGGCGGAGGATGAGGAGGACGAAGAAGAAGAGGAAGAAGAGGAGGAGGAGGAGGAGGAGGAGGACCCCCTCCCCCTCCTACTTATGGAGGTGGTAGTGGAAAACAAGCCCACCGGCAGGTCGGAAAGTGTGGAGCCGGTCGCCGTCGTCGCACAGCGGGCAAAAGCGCAATGGGCGCAGCGTTTCTCGCAGCGCCTTCGCCACTGGGATTAAGGCGGGCCTGTCCCTTTACAGAGGGAGTATTCGAAAATAGTAAAGAACACGATGGGGACTATTTTTTGACTATTTTGGAACATTTTTTGAGTATTTGTTCGAGTATCTTTAATGTTTCGTCGAAAATTCCCCTGTAGGGGGGCAGGCCCGACTTGACACTGGGAGCCGAGCGCTGTTCGCCGATGGTGGGCGAAGGACCGCATGGGACAGCCGCAGTGGGGCGCGTGGCTTCTGCGGCTTCCAGGTCAAAGCCACCCGCAGACCTCCACCCTTCGCTCATCATCTCTCATCCCCTCCCCAGGTTAGGATGCAACTCCTGGGAGGTGAAAGTCTGAGTCCGCGCTGGCATATCCCGGGTCGAAAACTAGCCTACTCCGATTCAGGGCCGCCTAATCCGGCCTAGTATGGCTTAATCCGGCTTGATCCCAGGCGCAATCCCGCTTGATCCGGTTCGATGGCTCAGCAGATGGGTTTCATCGCCTTTGGTTATATTGATGTAGACCTTCACGGAGTTGTTTCTTAGCCTAGGCGCCCTGATTCATCCAATCTGCCTCGTCCATCCTCACCCGCCGCCCCCAGGCCTGGCAAGATCCCGATACAAACGGTCCTCTTTCGCCCTTCCGAGGGTGCGTGCGTTTATGACTGCGGCTCGTGGCATAGATGGCTCGCTTGCGCGCGCTGGATGTTGCGCGCGATGTCGAGGCACTACGCGGTGCCCCATGAACTATATGCGCGCGCATTGCGCGCGTACCAGCGGCTTGATGAACGAGTTCTCTGATGCGCCAGGGAATGTCGCGCCATGGGGCGTGCCGCGGGATTCAGGGGCGACACTGCCTCGAAGGGGGATTCGAACGCTGGCGTCTCCCCACAGGGCCCCCCCTCCCAGCGCGCCAGTCGGCGATCTTAGGGATAAGTGTTTTTGTGGATATGTTTTTCGAGTGACCTCTCGAAGATCAGGTATCCCGAAGACTGCCACGCAATCTCAGGGATAACCTGATGTTCGAGAGGTCGCTCGAAAAAAACAGATCCCCAAGAATGCTATCCCTGAGGATTTCGGCCTGGCGGAGCTCTATGGGCGCTGGGCGTCCTGACATAGTGACATAGCCTTGCCGATGTGTTCGTCGGGCGAGGGGTGTGAGAGGCCGATGGCGATTTCGGGCGCGACGTACCCAGGATCGTGTCTCATCTGGCGCTCCCATCCTGGACAGGTTGATCCATCGCAAGCAGAAGGGTGCTATTCAGCGCTGCGTGCGTTAGCGCGCGCGAGTGGCACCAGCCGCACTGGGGGGGCACCGCGCGCGACAAGAACATGCCCTCTGTGGTCAGCGGCCCCCCAGGGCCTGACCACCGCGGGGATAGGGATATGTTTGGCGCTGGCCTGCGCACCGTCCATCGGCGAAGAGAGGTCTGCGATGCGAGACCTCCGCCATTCGGGGCCTTCGCGCGCGCGCCCAGGACGGACGCTCTTGGGCCGTCTCCCCAAGAAGGCAAAAGTATGACATGGACGCGTGGCGGGAGGCCAGGAGGAGCGGTGGCGGCCCTGCCGCGCCTGCGGCTTGCGGGGCCCGCGGGGGATCTGCAGAGGGGGGGCCAGATGCAGCAGGGCTCCACCTCAGGGGTGTTTTGGCGATTTCGTGGGCCGTTGTCGGTTTGACTTCGTTTTGCAGCGAGGGGGCACGAAAACAACACGAAGACGAATCCAACACGAAGGCAAAACGAAAAGCTTAGTTTGGAAGGCGGAACGAAGACCGAACGAGGGGACCCGAAAACATAGCGAGAACGAGCAGCACCGTGTTGGTCGAGCCCTGAGATACGACTTCTGGAGGCAGCCTCGCCTCGGCAGCACCCCAACACACGGATGAGGTGTGCGTCGCCCCCCCCGAAGGGGCGGTGCGCGCTCCGAGGAAGCTTGTGGTGTGGGCTTCGTGGCGGGCGCGGTTACAGCCAAGACGCGGAAACCAGGAGCAGTCGGGATCCGGAAGGGGGCTCGATGTCCCTGACGTCCTGCCGCGGCTGTTCCTCCAGCCCCTCTCGTGCACCCTTTCGTTTGAATATTAAGGGGCCGTTCCACGCTTGAACGATTATTGTCCACAGGAACAAGGAATAAGGAATAAGGAATAATAAGGAATATTAATCTTCCGTGCTCTTGAACAAGGAATAATAAGGAACGAAGCCGCAGAGGGGCTTCGTTCCTTATGTCGCGTTCCTCATGTCAGCAGCCCGACTGAATGGCCGTACCGCTCAGGGAAACGATACACCACAAGAGTGTTGTGCTGCATGCTCGGGTCGGGCGCCTTGGGCGCGCGCCCCTCCGAGGAGGGCGCGCAGCACCAGTGTGGCTTTCCTGTCTTATCGTGTACTTCCTTTTTTCCTTTTTTGGTTGGTCATCCCGTATTCACTCCTTTACTCCTCCTCCTCCTCCTCCCCCTCCTCTTTCTCCTCCTCCTCCTCCTCCTTCTCCTCCTCCTCCTCCTCCTCCTCCTCCTCCTCCTCCTCCTCTCCGTAGCCATTTTGGCTCAAGTCCGTAGCGTGGCTCAGTGGCCACCAGCGGGCGAGAGTTGAGGCAGAGGGGACCAGCGGCCCCTACCGACATACCACCCAAGGTTTCGCTACTGCATTGGGGTGTTATCCCCCGCTGTACGAAGACACGACTACTTCGTTTTCGCTCTCTGTTACTTCAGGCACATGGGAAAAGGCGCTTTCTCTTGGTGCACGGCCTGCGGCAATTGGGCCTACAATTTCAGAATCAGGAGGAATGGCGGCAAGTGCGGGAAGTGCCAGGCCCACATCTCTCTTCCCGCGCCGTGGTGGGAGCAGCCAGGCCAGCAGCAGGGCCAGCAGCACCACCACCAGCCATCCTCTCCTTCGACGGCTACGCCAGACCCGTCGGCGATGCTGGCCTTGCTCGCCAGCTTGCCGATGTTCGCGGGTGAGGCCAAGACGCTCCTCGCCGCCAAGGAGCGTTGCGACGCGGCAGCCGTGCCGACGCCGCCCACGGCCCACACCTCCTACACCGCCACCGCCAAGGAGCTTGAGAAGAAGGACGCAGCGCTCAAGTCGGCGGCCGAGGCGGTTGTGGCAGCGGAGGCCACCCTGGCACGTGCCCAGCAGAGGGCCGAGGAAGCCACGGTGGCCCAGATCGTCGCGCAGCAGGCCCATGACAAAGCGGTCGCTGCTGTCGCGGCCAAGGCAAACATCAAGCAGGTCCCCGGCGGGTACACTGCAGACGACAAGCGCGTGGTCTTCGCCGTGGACGACGCGCTCTTCTCCGACCTCAGCGAGTTCGACGAGACGCAGCAGGCCGAGCTCCGCGCGTTCGAGGCGGAGATCAAGCAGAGGATCGACCAGGTGGCGGCGATGCAGGCGGAGGTGCACGCGCAGTACGACAAGGTGCGCGCCCTCCGCAACTCCCCGCCGAAGCGCCAGCGGGTCGACGAGGAGGGAGGCGCCGCCGCGCCCGCGGCAGGCGCTGCCGCAGCGGCTCCCGCAGAGCCGGCGGCAGCCGCAGCCGCCGCCGCCCCTCCTGCCGCCGACCCTGGCGCCGCGGTCTCCGCCCAGGCCAAGGAGGACGGCCTCAAGGCGGCCCTCGCCAAGGCCCGCTCCGACTCTGTGGCCAAGGCGAAGGGCAAGGGCTCGGCCAGTGCTTCGAGCGCTGGCCCTGGCGCTGCTGGTGCTGCTGGCAGCGCCCCTTCTGCCGCTGCTGGGGCCGCTGGCCCTGCCCCAGCCCGCGGGTAGCAGCGCCCCACCGCAGCCAGCGGGCGCTGGCTGCCCACCGCGGACGAGTTCTTCCCCTACATGTTCAACGGCGTCCCTGATGGCGGGGTCTCCCCAAACTCAGAGAGATGACGAGCAAGGTTCCGACTCCAAGCTCTTCTTCGCCAACATCTCCGAGTGGGGCCCCACCGCGAAGGGCTTCATGAGAGGCCAGGCGCCCTCCTACGACCTCGTCGCGTTCTGCGAGACGCACGTCCTGGGAGAGCAGCTGGCCACCGCCAAATCCGATCTTGGCAAGGACGGGTGGAAGGTGACGGCCACCCCTGCAGTATTGACTGGAAGGTCTGATGCTGGCAACACAGGTGGAGAATGGGTAGTCTCGCGCAAGTCAGTCTGCACCACCTCCTTCGAGTCCTGGCGCCAAGCAGAGCTTCAACGCACAGGTAAAGATTGTTTCCGAGGATTCGCTCCTCTCCTGTGGCACACGCGCGTCGGCAACATAGTGGTTGTCTCCTGTTACTTGCTTCCTGGCCACAAGTTCAAGGGCCCGAACGAGCAGATGCTGATCCGCCTTGCCTCGTTCTTGAAGCAGATCAAAGATCCCTGGATCCTGGTTGGCGACTGGAATGCGGTTTCGTCTGATTGGTCCAAGACTGCCTGGATCTCCAAGCTCGGGGGCAACATCTGCGTGCCCATCAACGGCCAGGTCACGTGTAACAAGGGCCGCGGCTCCCTCATCGACTACGCGATCGTGAAGGAGGGCCTGGCCGACAGCATCCGTGTGCATATTGTCCCTGAGGTCCCATGGCGTACGCACGCTGGGATATGCGTCACGCTCAAGGGGGGCAAGAAGGCGTGGTGGCATCGCAGCCTCAGAGCCGCCCAGCCTCTGCCGGCACTCCCGAGGCCTGTCCGCGCGGCTGACCCGAACAGCAAGCGGCAGAAGGCCATCGCCCAGGCGAAGCAGCGCCGCCGCCAGGAGCTCGACGACTACCTGCAGGAGGCGTACGCCGACCTCTACGACCACGATGAAGCCCCTCCAGCACCAGCTGCAGGACCTGCGTTCAACATCCCCTTGGAGTGCTGGCAGGCCGCCAAGGACAAGCCGTACGAAGGCACCCCCGCACATCGGCCTCATTTCCTGCTCGATCGGGATCCCGAAGTACGTGGCGATGTTGGCCTACGCTACGGGCGATGGGTCCAAGCAGTGGAGGAGGCAACGATAGCACACCACGAGCTTCCAGCAGGTGATGCCAAGAAGTGTCGTGGCAGGGCACAAGGATACGATATTGAATGGAAAATCACGCGAGCCACCCCGTCCAGGCCCCACTTGAGAGACCCGCTACTCGAATGGTGGAACCTGTGCACGTCACTACTCTCGAGATTGGGCATCTTCCGACGGACGGCTCGAGTTCACGACAACGCCTACACGATGACCAAGCTCCTCGAGTTGCTGGACGTTGGCCTGGACAGCGACTTCCAGAAGCCCTTCGGCGACGACGACCAGTTCTGGACCTGGGTTGCGGCGATCCAGCAGATTGGCACTGCCGACGATGAGGAGTTCGACGCCATACTCCAGCAGGCGGAGTCCTACAAGAGCAGAGCCATCGGCCTCTCGTTGTCCAAGGCTCGCAAGGGATTCCAGGCCTGGGCCACCAAGATGTGGAAGGAGTCGCCAGGAATTCTACACCGCCACGTGAAAGGGGTACCTGACAAGCCCGACGAGATCATTGCTGACTCCAAGGTCTTCGCCACCCCTGATGAGATGATGGACAAGCGTGCAGATGATTGGAACGAGATATGGAGCGACGACACGATGGTCCCTGCCAAGATCATCGACGGCCTCCAGTACGTCATGGGCAGGGCCGACACCCAGGACCTCGAGCAGCTCACCGCCGAGCGCATGAACAGCGCGCTGGGCTCCATGAGTGGCAAGAAGGCCAAGGGGGTCGACGCCATGGGCCCCATCGAGGTGCAGCGGCTGCCTGCTGAGGCCCGCCAGGAGCTGCTCGAGCTGGTGAAGCACATCGAGCGCGTCGCCATGTGGCCGCACCAGCTCTTCATGGCGATCGCCGCCGTCGCCCCCAAGCCGAAGGGGGGCGACAGGATCCTGGGCCTGCTCCCGTTCCTGCCCAAGTTGTGGAGCAAGATGAGAAGTGCTGACTCCCTGGACTGGACGGTGGCCATGGACGAGCATTGGGACAGCGATCCGTGGCTCGTCTGCCCTGCAGGCTGCCTTGGTCCGATCTCTCCTCGATGAGACCTGCCAGGAGATGAAGATTTCATGTGCTACCTTGCTCCTGGACTTGGAAAAATTGTATGATAGTATTTCGATTGCCAAGATGTGTGCAGCAGGTATTCGCCAAGGTTTTCCTGCTCTCATCCTCGCGCTGGAGTTGCAGCTGTTCCTTGCCCCGCGGCACCTCAAGGACAGGCTCTGGCTGAGCAAGGCGATTCAACCTGAGAAGAGTCTAGTGGCAGGCTCGCTGCAGAGTGGACGCTTCGCGAAGGCGTTCATGGGCCCCATGCTGGACAGGGCCCACATCAACTACGGGCTCAGGATCCTACTCCGCACCTTCGTTGACGACACGGTGGTTCGGGCAGAGGGGACAGCGCACGAGGTCGGCTCGCTGATGATCGACTCCTGCACGTCCTTGGCCAGCGACTTCGTGGACGCAGGGCTCAAGATAAGCCCGAAGACGGTGGTCGTTGCTTCGTCCTCGAGCTTGGCAGCCCGAATCACTGCCGGCCTGATCGATGTTGGCATCCCTGTGACACCTGTCCGCCACGCTGTGGACCTCGGTGCTGACACGACCTCGGGCCGATCACGGACCAGAACCAAGGCGAGGGAGCGCTTCATGAAGGCCAAGAAGCGCACCTCCGCCATCATGAGGATGAGGCGCCACGCCAGCCTCCGCGGCATCACCAAGGGCCTCTGGAGCATGGGGTCCAAGCCGCAGGGCACCTACACGCACCAGACGTTCGGAATCCCTGGCTACGAGCTGGTGCAGATCCGCCGCCAGGCCGCCCAGAGTGCCGTCGGCACGGGGCCTGGCCGATGTTTGACCACGTCGCTTGCCGCCGCCTGTGACCGACGAGACCCAGCGAAGGCACTTCGACGTGAGCAGGTCCTGGCATGGCTGCGATTGTGGCGAGAGTACCCAGAATATCACACACGTATTGCGAGATCGTGGGATAGCATCCGTAGCCGCCTACGATTAGCGGGTTCGCGAAGATGGAGAGTTTCGAAGGGCCCCATTGCAGCTACGATTTCAACCTTGCTCGACATTGGTTGGGACCCCGTCAGCCCGATGGTGTGGTCTTCGGATGAGCAGTTCGAGTGGCACATCCCGTCTGTGGCGTCCCCAGAGTTTGACAACTTCCACGGAGACTTCACGGACATCCTTGATGACATTGAGGCCACGATTGACAGACAGTTGTGGCGTGCGGCGGCCCTCCACGAAGCTGCCTCGGACCTCTCGGAGGGCGCGGACATGTACCACGTCTCCAGGGAGCTCAGCCGCCTCAAGCCAGACCTCGAGGGCGACAACTGGGCGTTGGACGTGGTGGTCGTCACGGGCGCCCAGTGGACTCGTGAGCGCTTGCGCGCGGCAGGCTACCGTATTGATGGCCTCTGCCCCCGCTGTTCCAAAGCCCCCGAGGATTTGCACCACCGAGTGTGGGCCTGCGAGGCCAATGTTGGCCATGAAGATTTCGAGAAGAGCCAGGTTTTGGCCGAGAAAGCCCGGGTGAACCATGAAAGCTGCCCGAGTTTTTGGCTCCGCGGGGTCCCTGGCCGGGCCGAAACGGTCCCGACCTTCGCGGATAAGCCTCCCATCCGAATTTCGTTTGGCACCCTTGCAGCCGTTCCCAGAGACGCCGAAGGTTTTGTGACCTTGTTTGGGGACGGGTCGGGTGGGAGGTTCTCGGACGACCCTCGGCGTCGAAGGGTCGGCTCGGGTCTGATCGGTCTCGCCCCCGAAGGGGCTGTCTGGCGTGCCGTCTGGGGTCTGGGCTGCAGCATCGAGGGCCGAAGACAGACCGTGCCGCGCGCTGAGATAACCGCCTTCGCCGAAGCCCTTGAATCCAGCGATGGCGACGTCCGTTTCGTTACTGACCATCGCCCCCTCCTGGACTCCTGGACCAAAGGCTGTGGGTCTGAGCCGCCGAGCAGCGGGGTGAATATAGACCTTTGGGCCAGGATCCAGGCCGCCAAGCGTGATCGTGGGCCTGGCCGAATAGAAATTGTATGGGTCCCCTCCCACCAAGAGGAGATAGGAGGACTCTCGCGTACGCAGTTGTTTTACGCCTTCGGGAATGAATGCGCAGACGCCTTGGCCAGCGAAGCTGCCGAGCTTAGCTGGACTGAATTCGTGATTTCGCCCCCCCCCCAGACCGATGTTCGGGACTCCGAGGCCGCCCTGGTCCGTCGGAGGGCGCGGAGAGCCCTGGCAGCGAGCATCCAAGCCGATCCCTGGACCTGCGAGCGCCCTGGAATCGAGGGGGGGGCCCCGTTACCTAAGCTTGCCTGTGCCCTGCGTGACTCAGAGCATTCGTGGTCCCGTGCAGGGACGAAGTATATATGTAGGCGTTGCAATTTGTTCTCGAATCAGGATTCGATTTTCCAAATGTGTGCCTCCCGTTGCAGGCCCGAGCAGACGCCCGACTTCTCCCCCGTTCGTGCTGGCTTTCGGGTGTCGGGTAGAGAGCTCCATGGGTCGCACACTCTGCAGAAATGGGCTAAATATAATTTGGTTTTCTGCACGACTTGCGGCAAGTCGTGCACCACCGACCCGAGATGGTTGGTCTTGCGTTGTAATCCAACGGCCAAGGGCCGTCAGAATCTGGCGGCCATCAGGTCGGGGCGGTATCCGCACCCGTCGGGACCGCCAAGAGCGGTGAGAGAGGCGGAGTCACAAGGACTTGTTGGCCTCGGTGCAAGGGGGGGTGGAACGACCCTGACGACGTCGACGAGTGGTCGCGTTCCACCCCCCGAGGGAGTGGCTCAAGTTGCCACTTCCGAGGGTTAAAACTGAGGCCTCAGTTTTAACCCTCAAGCGGGCCAGGTCACCGAAGGCCATGGCGCCGTTTGTGGACGTACGCTGTCCTTTCATCTGATCGCTCCCGATCGCTCCTCCTCCTCCTCCTCCTCTCGCCTTGTTCTCCTCCTCCTCTCCCTCCTCCTCGTCGTCCTCGTCTTCCTCCTCCTCTCCCTTCTGCGTCCAAGCTCATGTCGCCAGGGCGAGTCTGCGGCCAGTGCAGCGAGACTGCTCACAGCCGGAAGGCCCGAGAAGGGGGGGGCACGGCTTGCCTGTGCCGGGTCGTGCGCGAAGAGAGCTGTGCACACGCACTGGCCCTGCCGAGGCCCACCCTGGGCCCAGAATCGCTGCGCACGCCTCCTCGGGCCCAGAACGGTGTGGGCCAGGAGGAGGAGGAGGAGGAGGAGGAGGAGGAGGAGGAGGAGGGCCCGCCGGGGCACCAGGACGTCGGATCCCAGGCGGTGGACATGGATAAACCCCCGCCTCGCACTCCGAGAGACTATGTATGCCGTGTTCTGTTGTTCTGGAGGTGGCCGCCGCGGGGCTGGGCGCTCCCATCGCCGAGGCTCGGCAGAGGAAGAGTCACCGCTGCCGCTGCCCCTTCTGGCCTTTTGGCCTTGCTCGGCCCCCTGGGGGCCCCCTCTCGTCTTGGCATCGCTCGGACGTGTGCATTGTTCCTTCGGCGAGGGCCATCGAGGAGCATCCTCGATTCTTTGGCGAAAAACGGCCTCAGGCAGGGCCGCTGCGTGTGCTTTGGTACCGTCCTGCCGTGGGGTAGACCCGATGTGGCATGCCACGGGTGCGTGCGGTGCCCTCGCTTCCGCCCTGTCTGGCAGGTGCTGCTCGAGAAGGCTCAGCGGAAGAGCGCGTTCTTCGACAGCGCGCCCCCCATCGATCTCGGGGACGGCCCCCTGAGAACACGGGAAGGTGGGGGGGGTGGCGCCAGGAGGGGGTCATGAAGCAAGCGGGTTTGGGAGGAAGCGGGTCCCGAAGGTGTTCTGCCGCTCCGGGTTGGAGGGAAAAGTCGACTTGCTTCCAGAAGACCAATATCTCGGGCCTATGCCACATGCTTGTCTCACTCTCTAGCCACAAGTGCCGATAGCCACATTGGATGTCGCTGCGTTCATAGACACATTCGGGGTGGTTACGCCTATAGACAGCGCGCCCTTTGCGTCCAGCGCAATGCAAGGTCGGAGCAAGGGTACAGCCAAGACGATGGAATGAGAACCGCTTCGGGTTCTGACGGGGCTCGCTGTTCCTTAGGCCATTCCGTGATTTCTCCTCTAGCCCTTCTCGTGCACCCATGCTCCCCTGGTGCCCAAAGGGGGCTACGTTCCTTGTTTAGCGTTCCTTGTTTCAGCAGCCCGACCGTCCAAGCGTCTACGGTGCGTTCCTACTCTGGGCCAGGTCCCACGGGGCGCGCCAAGCTCTCGGCCTTCCAGGACTGTCCACGAGCGACCCGGGACGCGGAACTGGCCCTGGGGCACAGAAGGGCCCCGGTTCCTCCAGAGCGTGCCGTGGTGGGAGGCTCGGAAATGGGGCGCCTCCTCCGGGGCAAGATCCTAGAAGCCTCGTCAAAAATGGATTGACAGCCTTTGCAAGGTCGAAGCGCTCGATAGTTCGGACGCTTGTCAGAAAACTCGTTCTTAAATGGTGTGACAGTGTTGCCGGATGTCGGGGGCCCCTGCGTCGTAGCGCCGACCATACAAGCCCCGAGAACAATGACCTACCATTTCTCCCAACCAGCCTGTGGTGTTGGGCCACCGTTTTGAAGAGAGAGCGCCCCACGTCTCCTCTCCTCTTCCCTCCTCTCCTCCTCCTCCTCCTCCTCCTCCTCCTCCTCCTCCTCCTCCTGCTCCTCCTCCTCCTCCTCCTCCTCCTCCTCCTCCTCCTCCTCCTCCCATTCCTCCCATTCCTCCCTCCTCCCATCCCTGCCTCTGCCCTCCGCACCAGTCAACCATTCCGGCACACCCCTTGCATGTTTCGTCGCCACATAGAGAGCTCCACCGAAGGTCCCAGTGGCGCCGCCCGAATGCGCCGCCGCCACCCATTTCGGCACACGCCTCACACGCTTCGCGGCCCCATAGGAAGCTCCACCCAAGGCTCTCATGGTGCCGCCCGCACGCGTCCCCACCACCCATTTCGGCACAACATTCACACGCTTCGTGCCCGCATAGGGAGCTCCACCCAAGGCCCAAAATGGTGCCGCCTGCATGCGCCCACGCCACCAATTTCGGCACCACCGTCACAGGCCCCATGGCCCCATAGGGAGTTCCACCAACGGCCCAGATGGTGCTGACCGCATGCGTCCCCGCCACCCATTCGGGTACACCCTTCACACGCCTCGTGGCCCCACAGGGAGCTCCACCCAAGGCCCAACTGGTGCCGCCCGCATGCGTTTCCGCAGCTCACTTCTGCACACCCCTGCCACGTTTCGTGATCCCCTAGGGAGCTCCACCCAATGCCCACATGCTGCCGCCCGCACGCGTCCCCGCCACTCATTTCGGCGCTCCCCTCACACGCTTCGTGGCCCCATACAAAGAAAGCTACACCCGAGGCGCCAATGGCGCTGTTCGCACGCGTCCCCGCCACCCATTTCGGCACACCCCTCACACGCTTCGTGGCCCCATAGGGAGCTTGGGCCCAGGGCCCAACTGGTGCCGCCCGCATGCGTCCCCGCAACGCTTCGTGCCTGCTTCGGCACACTCCGTCGGCACACTCCGTGCCTGCTTCGTGGCCCCATAGGGAGACCCGCCCAAGGCCCAGATGGTGCCGCCCGCATGCGTCGCCGCCGCCCATTTCGGCGCACCTTTTTCCCAACCACCCTGTGGTGTTGGGTCCTCGTTTTGAAGAGACGGTCCCCGCGTCCCTCCTCTCCTCTCCTCTCCTCTCCTCTCCTCTCCTCTCCTCTCCTTTCCTCATCCCCCTCCTCCCTCATCCTCCTCCTCTTCCTCCTCCCCCTCCTCAGCCGCCGACGCGGCCCAGACCCCCCCTTGCCAGAGGCGGCCGCCCCGAGGTTGCCCTGCTGTGATGGGGGCTGCCGCGGCCCGCAGGCGCTGATCCCTGTGTGCCGCCCCACCTGGGGCTGGCGGCACGCTGCCGCTCGGGCGCCGCGCAATGCGCGCCGTGGGGCGCTGTGCCTGCGGCTCCATGCTGAAGCTGATCATGGCCACGTGGACTGGAGTCGTCGGCGCCCTGCGCTGGTGCTTCCTGGGCTCGTCGTACCCCCACTCGCTGGTAACGGAATACCACCACGACGGGGTCTCGACGGTGCTGCGCAACGTGGGCATCAATGGTGTGCCTGGGACAAGGGTACGCGCGTGGCAGGCGGCGTACCACCATGCGGACACGGCGACGTACCACCACACCATCCTGGTCGGGTGGCTCTGGAGTCGGCAGGGTACGAAGGCGTGTGGAGGTGCCATCATGCTGAACGAGACGTGGACCGGGGGGAAGGGCATCTGGCGCTTCCAGTCGGAGCAGGTGATGATTGCGGTGATGGTGCTCCCCCCCAAGCCGAACAAGGCGGGCAGCCCCGAAGTCTATTCGGACATGTGCGACCAGCGGCGGGCGCATGACTGGCATTGCACGGTGGGAAGGATGGCGATCAACACGTGCCACGACTGCGGCCCCACCTTCGCGGGCTCCTACGGCCAGAGCACCCCCATGCGTGCGAGGTGGGACCGTACCAAACTCAGCCAGGCGACTCTCACTGGTGAAGGGCGAGAAGAGTTGCTGGAGGAGTTGCAGAATGAGCCCGAGTCCCATCGTGCGGCCTTCGAGATGCTGGAGAGTAGGGCGATCATGACGGGGCACACGGCACACCTGATCAAGGAGCTGGATGAGGAGGACATCCGCTACGCCACGAACGTGACGAGGACACGCAGGTGCAACCTCACTGTGAGTATCGACGCGGTCGATGCGAGGTGTGCCGTTCGCAGTGGCAGCGGGCGCCCCAAGGGCGACACGTCGGTGCCAGAGACTCTCATGCAGAACTATCACGTGGTCCACGTGGGGGCGGCCTTCGAGAGAAGACAGAACGCTGAGTGTACGACCATCACCTTCTGCAAGTTCATGGTGAGCTCCTGCGTGGGCGCGCCCATGGGCGATATCTTCAAGCCGCTGCAGGTGCCGAAGGGTATGGCCCACGCTGCGGACGGTGTGGTGGTACCCAAGAGGAGCGACATGTACATGGACCAGTCGCCGGCAGCACGGCAGTATGCGCTGATTCGGAGCAAGCAGGACGTGGTGCCAGCGTTGGGGTCGAGGCTACGGGACACCCAACGTGCGCGGCGGTGCCGCGCGGTGAGGGGCATGAGCATGAAGACGGTGATCTTGGAGGACTACATGGAGGATGCCAATGCCTGGCAGGTGGAGGCCCAGACGTTCTCGTTCGACGCGCGGGCACTGAGGGACAAGGTCAATCTGTTCAAGGACAAGAAAAAGGCGGCAAGGGACGCGGGTGACGCCGCGATGGTCGAGTGCTTGGCAAAGATGGAGGTGGGGCGCGCCAACTGGCAGACACTCGTGGAGTGGTCGGCGGCCATGGTGGGCGACCCGCCAGATTTCGTGATGTTCTGCCGCCGCGTGAATTGCTACCAGTCGAACATGATCGAGAGTGTGTTCATGGTCACCGACCAGACTGAGGATATGGGAGAAGAACTCTCGGAGTGGATCGACGTATCAGCGTGAGGGCAGCCACGGACCATTGCCATCACCAGCGGCGTGCGCCTACCTGTTCGGCTTGCTCGGGTCGCTAGGTGTGAAGCTTGGGCGTGGACCTGGCCATCGATGTGTGGCCGCGCACAGCGCCGCGCCTTCGAGCGTGGCTGTGCTGCCGCGGCACCAGGGTAACGATGTAGTGGTCTGAGGCCACGGACAGCGGGCAGTAGCTTATGCGATTTTGACTTGTGCGTAGTGGCCCTCGCCCGCCTGCTTCTCGCCTCCTCTCCCTCGCGGCCGCTCGGGCCCTCGTTCGCCCCCGCCTTCGGTCCCCCTCGGTCGGGCCCCGTGTCGGTCCTCGGTCGGTCCCGCCTCCCTGTGCGAGCAGCGCGGCGCGTGTAGCGTGCTTGTGTCCGATTTTTTCCACGGCACGTGAGTTTGCACGGCACAGTACATTCATTGCTCATCAGCTGCGTACTACTACTACTCCCCCTCCTCCCCCTCATCTTTCCTCCTTGCGTTTCACCCACCCAGTACAGCGCTTCGTGGCCTTCTAGGGAGCTCCACCGAAGGCCCCAGAAGGGGCGGCCACATGCGTCCGCCACACCCAGTTTAGCGCTTCGTGGCCCCATCGGGAGCTCCATCTGCGGCCCCAGTGGGGGTGGCCACATGCGTCCGCCACACCCAGTCCAGCGCTTCGTGGCCCCATCGGGAGCCCCACCTAGGGGCCCAGGTGGGGTGGCCACATGCGTCCGCCACACCCAGTACAGCGCTTCGTGGCCCTATAGGGAGCTTCACCTAAGGCCCCAGTGGGGGTGGCCACATGCGCCCGCCACACCCAGTGCAGCGCTCGGTGGCCCCATCGGGAGCTCCATCTGCGGCCCCTCTGGGGGTGGCCACGTGCGCCCGCCACACCCAGTACAGCGCTCCGTGGCCCCATAGGGAGTACCACTCAATGCCCCAGTAGGGGTGGCCTCATGCGGCCTCCACACCCAGTACAGCGTTTCGTGGCCCCATAGGGGGTCCCCACCTAAGGCACCAGTGGGGGCGGCCACATGCGTCCGTCACATCCAGTCCAGCTCTTCGTGGCCCCATCGGGAGCTCCACGTAAGGCCCCAGTGAAGGTGGCCACATGCGTCCGCCACACCCAGTACAGCGCTTCGTGGCCCCACAGGGACCCCCACCTAAGGCCCCAGTGGGGGTGGCCACAGGCGCCCGCCACACCCACTACAGCGTTTCGCGGCCCCATACGGAGCTCCACCTGCGGTCCCAGTGCGGGTGACCACATGCGTCCGCCACACCCAGTACAACGTTTCGTGGCACCATAAGGGTGCTCCACATGCAGCCCCAGTGGGGGGTGGCCACATGCGGCCTCCACACCCCGTACAGCGCTTCGTGGCCTTATAGGGAGACCCACCCAAGCTCCCAATGGGGGGGGGGGGCACATGCGCCCGCCACACCTAGTCCAGCGTTTCGTGGCCCCATACGGAGCTCCACATGCGGTCCCAGTGGGGGTGGCCACATGCACCCGCCACACCCACTACAACGTTTCGTGGCGCAGTAGGGAGCTCCACATGCAGCCCCCGTGGGGGTGGCCACATGCGCCCGCCACACCCAGTACAGCGCTTCGTGGCCCCATAGGGAGCCCCATCTGCGGCCCCAGTGGCGGTGACCCCATGCGTCCGCCACACCCAGTACAGCGCTTGGTGGCCCCATAGGGAGCTCCACCTGCGGCCCCAGTGGGGGTGGCCACACGCGTCACCGTTCGTGGCCCATACGGAGCCCCCCCCGAAGGCCCCAGTGGCACCGCCCGCGCGCGTCTCCCCACCCAGTACGGCACGTCCCTCACGCGCTTCGTGGCCCCATAGGGGTTTCCACAGAAAGTTGCACCCACAACGCGCTACTCACAACTGCATATAGTTGGGTTCCTCGCCATGATAACTTCGTGGAGCCAGAAGAGGGCCCACTCAAGGCTCAATGTCCAAATGGTGCTGCCCGCGCACGTCGCCGCCAGCAAATTCTGCAATTCCGCCTACGGCTCCCGTGGTGCCGACCGCGTGCGTCCCCGCCACCCTTGTCGGCACACCCATCGCACGTTTCGCGGCCCCGCAAGGAGCTTGACCGAAGGCAGATGCACACCCTTCAGACGTTTCGTGCCCCCATAGAACTCCACCGAACGCTCCAGTGGCGACGTGCGCACGCGTCCCCGCCACCCATTTCGGCACACGCCCCACACGGTCCATGGCCCCACAGGGGGTTTACCTAATGGCCCAGATCCACTGTTCTCATGCGCCCCGCCCACACGTCACTTCACATGTCTCCCACGTCTCGTGGCCCCAGAGGGAGCTCCACCTAATGCCCCATGAGGATGTTCACGACGGCGATGCTTACAACGACGGTTTTTACAATTGCGTACATTTGGGCCACTCAACATTTTCATGCTTATTTAGTTCACGACCATCCTGTGGTGAAGGGACCTCGTTTTGAAGAGAGGGCATCGCCCCGCGTCTCCTTCCTCCTCCCGCTGTCCACTCCCTCCTCCCCCTCTCCCCTTCTCCCCCTCCTCCCTCCTCCAGGCGTTTCACCCACCCTCAAAGCGTTCCGTGGCCCCATTGGGAGCTCCACGCACGGCCCCAGTGGGGTGGCCACATGCGTCCGCCACACCCAGTTCAGCGGTTCTTGGCACCACAAGGAGCCTCACCCAAGACCCCAGTGGGGGTGGCCACATGCGCCCGCCAGACCCAGTACAGCGCCTCTTGGCCCCATAGGGAGCTCCACCTGCGGCCCCCAGTGGTGGTGGTGGCCACATGCGCCCGCCACAGTACAGCGCTTCGTGGCCCCATAGGGAGCCCCACCTGCGGTCCCAGTGGGGGTGGCCACATGACAACGCTTCGTGGCCCCGTAGGGAGCTCCGCGCAAAGCCTCAGTGGGGGTGGCCACATGCGCCCGCCACACCCAGTGCAGCGTTCTGTGGCACCATAGGGAGCTCCACCTGCGGCCCCAGGGGGGGTGGCCACGTGCGTCCGCCACATCCAGTACAGCGCTTCTTGGCACCATGGGGAGCCCCCCACCTGCGGCCCCAGTGGGAGCGGCCACACGCGTCCGCCACATCCAGTACAGCGCTTCGTGGCCCCATGTGAAGCCCCACCTGCGGCCCCAGTGGGGTGGGGGGGTGGGCACATGCGTCCGCCACACCCAGTATAGCGCTTCGTGGCCCCATCGGGAGCTCCACCTGCGGCCCCAGTGGGGGTGGCCACATGCGCCTGCCAGACCCAGTACAGCGCTCCTTGGCCCCATAGGGAGCTCCACACACGGCCCCAGTGGGGGTGGCCATCGGGCCGTGACAAGTTTCTGACGGAGGGTTGCTCGCAATTTTCGGCCTTTGGGGGCCTTCATTGGGCTTGGGACCGTCAAAACCAGTAAAGAATGGGGTGAAGAAATCATGGCGTTTGGGATTTGGGGATGCGGCTCCTCAGAGGTCGGCTTTCCGTGAGAGGGACCCTTCGCTGGGGTGAATTTTGGCGCGGGTTCACGGGGGCCCGTTCGGCACTGGCCTGCACGCTGATATTGTGGCACCCCCAGCGGCCCCCTGAGGACGCGCACCAAAGGTTACTACTCTTGTCCAAGGTCACTCCTGCGTGTATGCACGCACGCGCCGAACAGGTCTGGACTCCAGCTTCCCTGGGACCAGCCTCTCATCCCGAGTCGTTTTGCTGATGGACCCGGGGCCTGGCGAAGGGCCCCCAGAAAGTTGTGATTTGTTCATCAGGTCGACTCCGGGAGGTCTCGACACACTCTCTGGTGCCCGTTTCGGCCCCGAGGCCCGGCAAGGGCCCCAGGAGGCCGAACATCGCCAAAGACCTTTGGTCACGATTCTTGCCACGACGCGGGGCGGGTTGGGTACGTCTCCGCGGCGAGGATGTCAGGGACCTCGCCCGGTCCTTGCCGCGCACGGTGCTTCGGCAGCAGTTCGTGGAAGCCTGGTGTGCCTTCGCGGCTCCGTCTTCAGAGGAGCACTCTGGCGTGCGCCAGCGTATGCTCATAGGCGAGCGCGCGCAGATCCAGCGTCGACCAGCGTCGCTTCGCGTCGGCCTCGGGGGGGCCAGCACTGCGGGCAATAGTTATATCCATATCCAGTGCGTTTTGGATTCTTGGGCTCTCTTCCCAAGAAACCGTAGACGCACTGGATATGGATAAAAATCTGGCCCCAAGAGGCTTAATTTTATCCATATCCGGTGCGCCTCGGCGTTGAGGCACCTCTTCCCTAAAAGTCCACGACGCTCTGCATATGGATATAAATACTGCCCGAAAGCACGCAGGAGGGGGGAGGCTCCCGCGAGCAGCCGCGGGACAGGCCCGCTGTGCCTGCGGCCCGCCCCCCCCCAGCCCCCCGCGGGGAGAGAGAGCGGCGGCGGGGGCGCGAGGCGAGGGCGCGGCGGCCGCGCGGCGACACTTGCTGAGCCTGGCCGCCTGAGCCCTCCGAGCCGGGGCGACGGCGGCTGTGCAGATCCCGCGGCCCCCTGGCCGGGCCCCGGGCGGAGCCCCGCCGCGCGGTGTGCGACGCGCGAGGAGGAGGAGGAGGAGGAGGAGGAGGAGGAGGAGGAGGAGGAGGGCCCAGTCTTGGCATCGCTCGGACGTGTGCATGTTTCCATCGGCGAGGACCATCGAGGACCATCGAGGACCATCGAGGAACACGCACGAAACCGAAAAAAGCACAGGGAATGGACGTCCGAGCGATGGCAGGAAGTGCACGCCGCGCCCTCGCGGCCCTGCCCCGGGAGGGCGCCCGCGCAGCCCCGCGGAGAGGCCCCGCGGAGGGAGGCCCCGCCAGGGGGCGGCGGGGGTGCGCAGCTCCCGCGGCCCGGTCACGGAGGCCCCCGTGCGTGCCGCGCGCGCGTGCGCGCCAGGGCCGGCCCGCCGCCCCAGATCGGGGGCGGAAAAGAGGGGGGCGATGACTGGGGGGGGTTGGGTTTCATGGCGCGGGCCATGATTTTTCCTCAGATTTCACGGCGCCTCTTCTTATTTCATGACGTCCCAGGCCCCCCCGCTGGGCCGCGCACATGCCGCCGGTCATGATTTGCACCCCCCCCCCGTGGACACCCCCCTCTTGGCCGCTCCCGACCAGACCATTGGCTGCTGGGATCGTTCCCGTCGCGATCGGCAGCGACCGATCTCGGCTCTCCTGGTCGACTGCGACGGATCGCCGATCGCGACCGATCCCAAGCCATCGGTCGCGACCGGCTTTGAGGCAAACCGGTCGCGACCGAGACCGGAATCTGAAGCAGAATTTGGTTCCGGCCGATCTCGCCGGTCGCGGCCGCGAAAGATCCGGCATCCAAAGGGGCAGGGTCGGCGCCGTCTCCGTGCACGGCTCGCTGCTCGGAGCGGGCCAGGCCGAAGAAAAGCGCGAGGTGAGGGAAGGACCACGATGGCCATGCCATCGGCTCCTTGGGTGGTGCGTGTGTGTGTGTCTGTCTGTCTGTCTGTCTGTCTGTCTGTCTGTCTGTCTGTCTGTCTGTCTGTCTGTCTGTCTGTCTGTCTGTCTGTCTGTCTGTCTGTCTGTCTGTCTGTCTGTCTGTCTGTCTGTCTGTCTGTGTGTGTGTGTGTGTGCGCGTGTGCGCGTGTGCGCGTGTGCGCGTGTGCGCGTGTGCGCGTGTGCGCATGTGCGCGCGTGTGTGTGTGTGTGTGTGTGTGTGTGTGTGGGTGGGTGCGTGTGCGTGGGTGCGTGGGTGCGTGTGCGTGTGCGTATGTGTGTGCGTGTGTGCGTGTGTGCGTGTGTGCGTGTGTGCGTGTGTGCGTGTGTGCGTGCGTGCGTGCGTGCGTGCGTGCGTGCGTGCGTGTGTGCGTGTGTGTGTGTGTGATTCAGGTCTATCTATGCTGCCCACATTGTGTCCGAGCGGATGGGGTCAGTGCAGCGCGCCGCATCGCCGCCGTGCCAGCCCGCTTCGGCGCTGCTTCTGTGAAGGCTCACTGCTCGGAGGGGGCCGGGCCGAAGAAAAGCACGATGGCCATGGCCAAGACATCGGTTTCGGGCGCCAGGCCTGTCTATGCCGCCCACATGAGGTCCGAGCAGATGGGGTCGGTGGATCGCGCCGCATCGCCGACGCATCGGGGATGCATCGTCGCCATTCCTGTACGCTGCTCGCTGCTAGGAGCGGGCCAGGCCGAAGAAAAGCGCGAGTTGAGGTGGAGTCGGTGGGTCGCGCCGTATCGCCGATGCACATGGGATGCAACGGCGCCACCTCCGTGGACGGCTCGCTGCTCGGATATCGCCAGGCCAAATAACATAGCGAATCAAGGGCAGAACCGCGATGACCATGCCGAAGATGTACGGTAGGTTCGCGCGGCGTTGGCGCGCCGGCGACGCCGGCGAAGGCGTTCACGACGCGGAAGCACCGAGGGACAAGATACCGCCATTGGGCCCGACGGAATTCTACCTTGAACGATCGGGTCCGCGATTCATTCAAGGTTGAACGATCGACGCGGTGTCAAAAACCTTTGCGCGCGCCGACGCCGCACGAACCTGCCGTACGTAGCACCCCGCACATGCGAATAAGAGTGAGGTGGCGGTGGGGACGTCTGCAGTTTGCCAGACTCTGGAGAAGCCCGCCGCAGGCGCCGATTTTTTCTTTAAAACAATGTGGTTAGGTCGCGGGTGGGTAGCAAATGGGTCGCGGGTGGGTTGCTGTTGGGTCGCGGGTGGGTCGCGGGTGTAGAAGGCAGAAAATCCACCCTATAATAATTACCCTGGCACGCGAAGCCGTTTGGTAAACGCACACAAGGACTTGATTGAACAAGGCAGGGTTGCTTAGTAAACCCCCAAGGCCGTCTAGTAAACGTCAACTGTCGGGTCCGGGTGGTTTTTCCCTCCTTGAGGGTGGGTCGCGGGGTGGGTCGCGGGTGGGTCGCGGTGTGGGTCGCGGGTGGGTCGTGGGGTGGGTCGCGGGTTGGTCGCGGGTGGGTCGCGGGTGTAGAGGGCAGAAAATCCACCCTAGAGTAATCACCCCGGCACGCGAAGCCGTTTAGTAAACGCACATAAGGAATTAATTAAACAAGGCAGGGTTGCTTAGTAAACCCCCAAGGCCGTCTAGTAAACGTCAACTGTCGGGTCCGGGTGGTTTTTCCCTCCTTGAGGGTGGGTCGCGGGGTGGGTCGCGGGTGGGTCGCGGTGTGGGTCGCGGGTGGGTCGCGGGGTGGGTCGCAGGTGGGTTGCGGGTGGGTCGAGGGGTGGGTCGAGGGGTGGGTCGCGGGGTGGGTCGCGGGGTGGGTCGCGGGTGGGTCGGGGGGTGGGTCGCGGTTGGGTCGCGGGTGGGTCGCGGGGCGGGTCGCGGGGTGGGTCGCGGGTGCGTTGCGGGTCGCGGGTGGGACGACGACAACAAACAACAACAACAACAACAGCAACAACATCAACAACAACAACAGCAACAACAACAACAAGAACAACAACACCAACAGCAGCAGCAACAACAACAACGCAACAAGCAGAATCCTCAACACGAATTCCCTATTCAGCCACGCACCCAGAGACAAAGAATGACCGTTCGGCCCCCTTACTCTGATTGGGGTTTGGGCGACGCCGGCCTTGTTCATGGGCCATGCCCGCCGTCGCCGATTCGCGAGGATGATCCACGAGTTGACGGTGACCAAGATGGACGGTGACCAAGATCGACACCGACGCTTCCGCGTTCAGTCTTGGTCATGATCGCCGTTTTCTGTCCCTCCAGCGAGGGCTCGGCGAGGGCCTCACTTTCGAGACTGGGATTTATCCAGACACACCGTCTGGGAGACCGACCTTCCTCGACCTCGGCAGGCGGCGGAACGTTCCATGTATTCGGGGGGGTGTCCTTGGGTCCAGATGTATCGATGTCCACCGCCTCCTGGGATCCCAGAAGACATCGGTTACCCAGGCGGTGGATGCGGTCACGGCCTGCCGCTGTTGGTCCGAGGAGATGGGGTCGGTGGATCGCGCCGCATCGCCGATGCGTCGGGGACACAAGTTCGATGTGTAGTCCAACTTTCTCCACGCCAGCGTCGCCCATGCATCGCCGACGTCGCCGATGCATCGGCGATGCATCGGCCATGCGGCGCGATCCTCTGACCCTATGTACTTGGATCCCAGTTGGGAGGCCTCCAATCTTTCTCTCTCTCTCTCTCTCTCTTATACCTCTCTCTCTCGCTCTCTCTCGCTCACTCCCTCTCCCTCTTTGTATGTACACATGCAAAGACACATCCTCGCCTCGCACTTCCCACAACTTCCACATCTTTGCGCCTGGTAGCAAGGGTTCCCCCACAATGGGGGCCTGCCTGGCTTCGTGTCGGCAAGCGCCGCGCCGGTGGGGTTTTCGGCGCCTATGTGGCGCGCGGCTTTTGCCTGCGACGGGGGTCGGTTTGGGCCCGGAGTGAAATCGGCACCGCCCAAGCACACTACTACTATGTGTGCGTCGGCTCCGCAAGGGCGGCGCGCACGCCAAGAAGTCTTGCAGCAGAAGCTCCGTGGCGTGCGCGTTCTGGCCACACCGCTCGGGAGACGACACACAGCCAGACTGCATGGCATGCGTTCGGGTCGGACGCGGTACACAGCACTGGTATGACTTCCTGCGTCCCCTGGAAAGCTGCGGCGCAGGGTTTGGGGGGGAGTCCTTGCCTTCCGGCGGCCCTCCCCGGGCCCGGGGACGGTCGGGCCGAACGCAAGCCTGGCATCGCTCGGACGTGTGATTTTCTTCATTCGGGGAGGACCATCGAGGAGCATCCTTGATCATTTGGCGAAAGAACCAGGCACGAAAGCGAATTACCCTGCGACGTACCCAACCCGCGTGCATCAAATGGCAAGAGGAGCATGCCAACATTAGCAGGAACAACGACAGTGTAGACGCGGCGATTTGCTGTGCAAGCTACATGGGATGCGCATGCGTTGCACGATTCACAGGACGACGATCGAAAGAACGAGGATTGAGGCCCCAGGATCGAAGAAGAACGGGCACGGGAACGAGGGGTAGGAGAGGGATGGAATGGAGGGAGGGGCGAGGAAGGTGCGGAAGCGAAAGGCCATCGCGGAAGCAGCAGCATACATGGAGAAGGTGAGGCGGGGAATCGGACGACGATGAAAGTGGCGGGGGGAGACAGAAGACTGCCGCGTTTTTCAAGCGCGAGCTAAACCCGCAGCGCTGCCTGCGCCATGTCGTCGCAGAGTTCCACATGATAAAACTTGTTTAGAGTGCAAGGAACGAGCGAGGCGTAGCTCGCCCGCTAGCTTCTCCGCCTCCTTCCCGCACATTTCAGCGCGGGAGCTGAACGCTCGCAGGCGCGCCGCCAGGTCTGCGGGCGGCCCGCGGGAAAGAAACTCAAGGCCGGGGTCGCGTATCATCAATCGGTTGTCCATCGTCCAAAGTTGCACTGGCGACGTACTGGTTGAACGCGGAGCGAGCAGCATCACGCGCGTGCCTGAACGCCACGCAGGTACAGTGCACGCGCGAT